CTAACATTAACATTTTTGTTTTTTTTTTTTTTTTGTCACAATTGTAAAAATTTTGTCTCTGCTTTAAATGTGTTTTCCAGAAATTTTCGTTTATTACCAGTAAAACTAATATCCACTGATTTTAAAGTCTATCTAACATCTGCATCAGCATTTAATGTCTACTGATGTTAAAATGTAACACGCTGTTACACGTACGTACAACTTAATAAAAACTTTCCAATCGCACTTTGATTATATATATATATATATAATATATACATATATATATATATATATATATATATGTTGTAAAGGTTATATATTGTAGACACACAGTACATAGATGAGAGAGTGTTGCATTAAGTTGAACTAAAGTAACATTGTGTGATGATGTGACATGCACTCAACCAGTCTTTTCATGAAAATGTGCCGTCCAGCTTGTCTCTTGTTTAAATTAGAAAAGTTATTTTCTCCACACGCATAAAAGAAAGTAATTAAACTAGCAGCACACACACCTATGCTTGATAGCCACATGTGAAAATATGATGAAGGGTTGAGAAAGCACAGTGCGTTGAGTACGAATATATGAAGAAATTGCTGCACGTCTGCTGCTAGTTTGTACATGTATATATATGTATATATATATATATATATATATATTCGCACTTGTGCTCGTGTGTATACATATATTTATCTATTTATGTATGCGCGTGTTTTCTTTTCAACACATTGAGTGCAAGTAATTATAAGTAAAGCCATGTGATGTGTCGTACGTTAAGTGAAAGCTGAAATTTTTACAAACACTTTAAGAAAGTATTTATCGAGTTACATCTTAAGTGCACAAGCACACATATATACAAAGTTTCCCTTTTCCCCTTTTTAATTATGAAAAGTTAAACGACTAACGGAAACTCGAAAAAGCTATGCGAACAGAGTGCGTACAGAGCTTAAATGTATATAAACTTAATGATCCTGAGCGTTCCTGATGCGTTTCGTTTTTTTACAATGAAATCGTCGAATAATCTCAAAAAATTTACGCGCCATCTATGAAGAGATTCTCATCTGTATCATAAAAACAAGGTGAAGGGAACTTGACTTAAGTGTCAATACTTTTTAGACTGCTCGGACTATTTTCGAAATGAAAAGAACATCATGTAAAATGAAATTTCTTTTAAAATTTTTGCTTTCTTTTATTGTAGTCTTTTTTTTTTTATTATCTTTCTCATCATTATTCAATGAAATTACGTTAAAAGGCAAAATTTTATTAAATTTCGCCAACAACAAATGTGATAATCAATAATGTGCTTGATAACAATCTAAAGAGAGTAAGTCGATTGTGCGAACGCCTTCTATATGATTCACGTAGCGTGCAAAATAATTGAACCTAACCAATTGGCTCTATTTCCTTCCTTGTGTATATGTGCGTTTGTGTGTGCACCAAAATATTATTTATTTTCATATGTATACATATGTCCACAGATGAAGAACACGAGAAAAAAGATAGCAAAGTAATACTGTACACATAAACACATAATTGACACATGCATCCATGCATATAGACGATGTAAGAATAAAAATTCAATCATTTTGCACCGCCTTCGTAGAATAGAAGTATGCTGCATTTCCGCTTCCGTTTGTGAGAGCCAGAAATACGCATTAGTGGTCCCAGCGATAAAGTGCATACATTCTTCAACATTTTAAGATTTTTAATGAATTTAATTATTTATGCGCTTGTTCGTCTAGTTAACATCCTGCCTACCTGCGTTTTGTTGTTGTGAATTTGAAAATAGAAAACTACCCAACTGACCGCTATAGACAAGAAATCATCGCCTATAAGATTTATTACTTAAAAAAAAAAAAAAAAATATATATATATATATATATATATGAATTACGAATATTTCTTAGGACCAAATAAAAAAATGCCCATATTGATCCAGGTTGGCGGGTATCGAAACATTCGTTCTAAAGTAAATTTCACTACGTGCTACGTGTTATTGCATAGAAATCTTCGTCGTGTTCTGCGTGTCTCATGTACCAACAAAGTAGATTGACAGCGTCATGCGTATGACACAATGACAAATTGATCAATGCATTATAGGTAATATTGTACATGTACATCAACATCATTATATTGCTTCTCACTAAACCGTCTTCATAATTTTTCGTTACAATATTCTTGTTAACAATGCGTTTACTTACATATATACACACACACGTAGTCAAGTGTATATCATCCCTGTCGTTAGCAATTCTTTATATCTATGTGATATCAGTTTTCTGATTAATTTTGAAAGATTCAATTACTTTGACACATCTTTGTTTAATCAATCAACGCAACAATGTGTCCAAATGTGCATGAGCATCATTTCAAATCTCATAAACCACTAGCTACTTATTTAATGAAGCTTTGATATATCATACGAAAAATACTAAACTAATACTAAACACTCTTCATATATATTAATAATGCATTACATGAATGCATATTATTAATGCGTTACTTTAATCCGCCTCTTCTTTTTTTTTTTTTTGTTTCATAGTCATACCTGAAATATTCTCTCTAAAGAAATACATAATAAATGGCCCCCATCCCGACTCATGCCTTGCTTTTTTAGCACCAATCGAATTTTTTCTGATTTTTAGTGCAAATTTAATTCCATGTACTTACTGCAACTACTACGACAACCACTCGTTTAGATTCAACGTTCGTATGGTGACAAATAAGGCAAGCGCAAGGAAGAAGAGTGCTTCTAACAATATCAACACTTTTATTTTCATCACGTTCCTTTTAACGTGCTCGCTAACAAAATAAACAATAACAATTTCGGCTTCTGTAATTGAATTTTTTAAATGAATCCAGTAAGAGCTGCACTGATAACGCTGGCAATACTGTTAGCCCAGTAGAAGGTATTTGAAGAGGTACTTATATAGTGAGATCTTTAAATTCAAATTAACATATATAGCTGATGACGTTGCCAGGTGATTTCTATCTTCTTTAGCTTGCCGAAAACGATGAATTACATTAAGTAAGTACATGAAAATGATGAATTAGATTACGTACATATGAAGTCAAAATTCGTCTTTTTCATGCTTTTTTTTTTTTTTTTCTTGAAAACCGCAGACGATCGAAAACGTGCAAAAGAAGTACCGAGTAAAGCGGAAGTGGAGTTTGAATACTGTCTTAGGTACTTAGTACAAATATATATAGTGTCGTTCTATGGGTAACAATGGTAACTGTTCCATTCATAAAAGCTCTTAATTTCTTAATGGTTTTTTATTGCCTTTAGCTATGCATAATATAAACGTGCATACGTGCGTTCTATACATGTGGACGCAAAACTGACAATAACTTAATAATCGATTAAATGTTTGGTGGCAATATGAAAAGAGGAAACATGCCATGGCAAACCGACAAAAGCTAATAATTAATGATGGTCAACGGTAATAAAAGTAGGATTAAACAAATTAAAAAGAAATTTTTGTCTAGTTCACTGCTTCATTTCGAAGGATGTGGTTTCATTCATTTTGTCGAAACGTTTGCAACGCCTGGAAGGCAGTTTCAGAAGCCCACCTTGATCAATTAAGCACATCCGCCTGTCTGTCTAATCCTTTTTTCTTCCTGTCTGTCGGTATGTGCGTTTCGTGTTGTCTTGTTCGCATACATGACGCTGGCGACTTCAAATACGGCTTGGTATAGGAAAAAATATAGAAATGAGGTTAAAAGGCAAGGTTAGAGCACAAGAAAAATAACACTTTACAACCAAAAATTGGATTTCTCGCTCATGGCTGCTAAACTATTATTATAGCGGACAAAACGATAAAAATGTTTGCGTTCAACATGACTTAAACGGAAATCAACGAGTCGACCATCCAAAATAATAAAGCATCGAAATTTAATTTTTTTGGAAAAACGCTTTTACACCTTTGAAAGATACTTTTTATAGAGACCTATAAAGCACACAAATTCTTGATCACTATCAAATTGAGAATCAAGCTAGGTCTGTCCATCCGTCCGTATATCAATCTGTGCATAGATTTCTCTTCTTTCAAAATAAATATGGGCATAAAATGTTCAGTCACAGCCAAAGACAATTTGCTTGTAATCCATTATGGATTTTTCAATCGGCTTAGTCCTTTTCGTAGTGCGTCTAGTTTTCGCGCAGAATTGCGCGATGAAGAGCAGCGTAAATACTGATTTACCTTGTGTTATACTCGTTCTACGAAACAGTGCAAAAGTTCCCAACTAAAACTAAGGCAATATCATCGACCGAATATAGTATTTAGGTTAAACGATGCCTTCACTTAAGGAAGGATTTGGTTTGCCTGATGTCAAAGGAGAAAAATGCGAAGAAAGTATCCATTCTTTTCTTCCATTTTGGTAGTAGATAAAAAAATACTTAAGAAATTTATTTAATTTTCTTATTCTAATATTTTTTTGGCAGAATGTGATAAGCGTATACGATTACGTTAGTCTGTCGCAATAATTAGAAAAATTTTAAAATACCAACAACTCCGAGATTGCAACATATTTGAATTTGCGGAATTCCTTTGCGCTATCGAAGAACTTTATAACCTATACGTAAATGAAAATCTTCACCATAACACATTAGTGCAGTGAGCTTACAAGTTTCATCTAAATAACAAATATAACTATGGCGCCAAAGATAGCCGGTCGATAGTCAAATGTTCGCCTTAAATTGCTTTTGCCTTCAACTATGCATTAAATGTGAACAAAGCGCATTTTCAAAGGTAAACGTTGACTTGTCTACATATGATATAATCCAAACATTCATATGTTAATTAAAATACATTTAAAGCTAAAACCGTGATTAGTTGAATAAACCGTTTTATAAAGTTACTCGTACGTGCATACACCGCACACGTTAACGAAAGGAAATATTCATTTCGCACGCATGCTTAAATGCGGCATCCATACGAAATTAAGTTATTTAAATTTAGTGACGTTCAGTTCGTTTATTCATTCGTTTACATTCTTTTTTAATTTCAGATCCGGTATTTCGATGTAATTTGATTAAATCACAACCACACAAAGGCCGCTAAGGCTTTCGAATTTAACGTATTCTACCAGAGCAACGAAAAGTATAGATTTACCGGTATCTGTTCATTTGTGGCGCAATATGCAAAATGCCACCTGCAGATCAAATGCTATTGTTCGCAACAAACGTAAGCCATGCAACCAGTATTGTGACCGCAGCCGCAGCCGCAGCCACAGGAACAGCCGCAAATAAGTCTATCAGCACCGCGCCAACCTTAACTATCGCAGTCAATGCGAGCATTTCGCTAGCAGGTGATAGTGCAACCACATTAGTGGATTTGGTGAACGTAAACAATACTGCTTTAAATAATCGCAACGTATCAGCATTTTTGAATAGCGAGTCACCGCAATGCAGTCCGCCCAGTGAAGAATGGTATGACAGTTATTTTGGTGTAAAATTGGCTGTGCCCGAATGGGAGGCCATATTCACCGCCATTATACTATCAGTGATAATAGTGTTGACCGTTATTGGAAACATTTTGGTCATTCTTAGTGTATTTACTTACAAACCGCTGCGCATTGTTCAGAATTTCTTCATTGTATCGCTGGCAGTGGCTGATTTAACGGTCGCCCTACTCGTGCTACCGTTTAATGTTGCTTACTCAATATTAGGTAGATGGGAGTTTGGTATATATTTGTGCAAAATGTGGCTTACATGTGATGTCATGTGTTGCACCTCTTCCATATTGAATCTTTGCGCGATCGCCCTAGATCGTTATTGGGCGATCACCGATCCCATTAACTATGCGCAAAAGCGTACTGTAGGACGTGTATTGCTGCTAATAGCTGGTGTTTGGCTACTATCATTGCTCATTAGCTCGCCACCATTGGTCGGCTGGAACGATTGGCCCGAAGAATTTACTAGTGCCACGCCTTGCGAATTGAATTCTGATCCCGGATACATAATCTATTCATCGTTAGGCTCATTTTTCATACCGCTCGTCATAATGACTATAGTTTACATTGAAATATTTATCGCTACCCGAAGACGACTACGCGAACGAGCTCAAGCGGCCAAAATAAACACAATAGCTTTGCGCTCAACTGCCACAGAGGTTACGGGCGCCGGTGCCGTGACCGCCAATGGCAAATCGTCGACTATCTCATCAATTTGCTATAATGTTCTATGTTGCGGCAAAGATTCGGCCAATTTCTCTACGCCTATGATTCAAAACGATCAAGATTCCATAAGTAGCGAAGCAAATGCAGCAAACAACGAAACTACACGCGCTCAGGCCGCTGAGCATCGAGTGATGGTGGTTACGCAACGAAAAAAGTCGCGTAGATCTAAAATAAAAGATTCCATTAAACATGGAAAGTCCCGAGCACGCAAGAACCAAGAGAAAGCCAATAATAGCGAACTTAACACTCAAAATCCCAAGGGGAGCGGTTGCGGCACGGAGAGTTTACTTTTGGCGGTGGGCGCAACAAATCGTGATGGCGATAATCAAGAAATATCTACTGAAAGCGGAAGTGATCCGAAAGGATGTATGCAAGTGTGCGGTAGCAATGACAATGAAGCCACCATTGGCGACATTGAGGACGAGAATGTCTCATTAAAAATAACACCACCACAATCGTCAGTTGGCGCCACATCTTCGTTAGCTGTCCCATTGCAAAAGAAACCTGCTGGCGTTTATCAATTCATCGAAGAGAAACAAAAAATTTCACTCTCAAAAGAACGTAGGGCAGCCAGAACATTAGGCATTATTATGGGTGTATTTGTTATATGCTGGCTACCTTTCTTTCTCATGTACGTAATCTTGCCATTTTGTGACGACTGCTGTCCAACCAATAAATTTAAAAACTTTATCACATGGTTGGGTTATATTAATTCGGTATTGAATCCGATTATCTATACAATATTCAATTTGGACTATAGACGGGCATTCAAAAGACTTTTGGGATTAAAATAAATCAAAACTAAAAAATATAACAACAAACATAAGTAAATCAATTTTTAAAACCCAACTATTATATATAAAGAAATTGCAAATGTATATATATAAGTTCAAATACCTACCCTCTAAGAATATAAAATAATTATTGTCCACATAACAAGCATAACTAATGTCCAACGTATAGTATTAATATGTATTGTATTGTATTATTGTGCGTGCGTGTGTGCGTTTAAGTGTATGTATATGCAAAATTCACAATCGTTGAAGAAGTTGAGTATGTTAATATGAATACAAAGCATTTCCTAAATAGCCTGCTTACGAACTTTATTCAGTGGATAAGCTCAATACTTATTTGTATTGAATCGACAATTATTTTTTAAATATTTCGATAAGAATCGCTTTAAAAATCTAGATGACTTGTAATAGGATATAATGCTTTTTAACCGAGCAGTGCGTACATATTGTAAAACAGAAAAAAATGAAAGCAAAAAAAAATTCAAATGCACATAAATGAATTCCCAGCTCTATTAGGCTGCACTCAATCATAAATAGGTATTTTGGTTTCGCAGAAAAAATCAAAACAATGCATGCTTAGTGGTTTTTATACCCTACACCACTTGCGATCCAGGGTACATTAAGTGAGTACGGACGTACGTTAACCGCAAACGGGCTTAAGATACGAGTCGCCTTTTATTACACCGATCGATTCAAAATCGCAAACTGAATCGATTTAAGACTGTCTGTCCTTGTAAAATTGTGTTCAAACTACAGGTCACAATTTTTAAGATATTTTGGTAAAATTTGTTATAGTCACGCGTTTTGACCCAGGAATGAACGCTGTTGAAAATGGTTCGGGTCGGTCCACTTTTTCGACTATTCACCATACAACATCCTTTTCTAAAAAGCCGCTATATGAAAAAAAAATTGCATATTTTTAAATTTCTCATAATAATTATTTCATACAGAAATAAACTCTAGAAAATTTGTACCATCTACGTCTATTTTTGGCTCCTGCCCTATGTAAGAATTAAGCTTTTAGTCCACAAAGTCGCGTTTTAAGCCCGCCTCTCCATAAATACCCACATGGAAAATATGCCTTTATAAGAATTGTGTTAGACAATGTGGTTTAGGCTATTTAATCGTCCGCCTTGCTCGACTATAATGTTCTCAATTCTTTTCATAATATATTCCAAACATAATCATTTTCAAATCAATATCAATTCAAAAAAATAAGTTGGATGGCCGACTACGCTTCACTTTACTTTAATGCCTCATCTAAGAGAAAGTACGATGCCGTTTCTTATCCTCATTTCAGGTTTTTCAGGTTGGGTTAGGGTATAAAGTAAATAACCGTCATCGTTGAAACTGCAAGCTGTAGTTAGTTGCCAGCTTTCATATGCCAGGTACCGTAACGGCAATATATCCGCCGACCTCATTATATTAACTGATAGCTGGCAGATATCATCTCCAACTATTTCCTCGCCTCCTGTAGACTCATACGCGAAACATATAACATTAAAGTTGATATTTGTGCCGAGACATTCAAAAAATGTACTCAACGAAATGCGTAACATCCTTGAAGTTTAATTGTATCTCGAATATGCAAATGCATGTTATGCAAATTTTATCTTACAAAGGTAACAACTAGAGTGTTGTACCATACCGTAGAGAGAGATTATAATTATGTATTGGTGAAGGGCAATTTTACTTGGACAAGTTGAATTTGGAGAAGCATTCAAACGAATTTGTGTCGTCAATTAACTTCGCTTGTAATAGTCACCGACGATTAGTTCACGATTTCAAGATTAATTAAACAACTGTTTGAAATTTTCAAAGGCATTTACCAAATGTTGGGATGGGGAGCAAGCTCGAAATTTCGACGCTGCGAACGGACTCACCGAGAAACTGACTGATTGAAGCAAATTTCGACTTATGATTTTACCGCTCAGTTGTCATCAAAATGAATCAGTTTTAGGGAAAGTTAAAAAACATGGTTGTCTAGAACGCTCAGACAGAAAAGAGCAAAAAGGGTTATGTCTTTTTTATGATGACTATAGGAAGAAATCGTCGAACACGATTAATACGATGCTTAGTTAAATAAAGTACTATATAGTGCGGGGTAAATTAAAGCAAGCAATCGTGCAAGAGTCGGCTGTCCCAGTGGCTGCGGGGTTACATTGCTAATAAAGATTTTAGTTCCCTAGCCTTCACCTGAATGACCTCTTTGCCCTGAAAGATACTGCATATATGTTGCGGAAAGATGACAAAAAGTCGTTGAACAGAATGCATTCGTAATGTATATATATGGTACCATATATACTGTGTTTGAACCTTGCTCGAAGAATATTAATACAACTAATACGCCATCTCATTGGCGCCGGCTACATTTCTCATGCATATAGCTCGGTGTTACGGAGCGATAATAATGATTTTATATTGTTATCATCTACCTTCGGTTGCAGAGAGACGATATTTGTAGGTTGCACTGCTCACTAGGCAATCCATTTTGAATGTATGTGTGATTTTGCTTTTTAGTAAATCTCTTGATCTCGAAATAAGCTTAAATGTTGCGAATTATTTCGCCATAAAAAGCGTTATTGACCCAAAGTTACTTTGTTTGTTACTTCGATCATGACGTGGCTTTCATTGCCTGAGTAGAGACGCTATTCTCGAAATTTATCTACATATTCTTGCGATTTCAAGTTTTGGAGAAGGAATTCGAATATTTTATCAATGTTATTGAAGCTTATGCTGCTCTACTATTACCACTTTATTAGGGTAAATCCAATAGGGCATGACCTCGGAAGAATCTTCTGCTACGACTAAACCCTAAAGACTGAAATAAAATGAAGACTTGGTATGTGTACATTGGCGTAAACAAAAGCGAAAGTAAGCAATTCTCTCTCTCTCTGTTTTAACCTTTGATAAGCCTAAGTACATTTAAGGCAACTTTTCGTAGTGGAGAGAAATGTCATCCTAAAGGGTCTTAGCCTTAATTAACCTTATTGAAGGTAAATTTCTGTGAAGCAGCTTTGAGATTCCTTTCAATTATATTTCAATGTGGTTACAATTGATATCGCAAATTAGAAGATATATATATAGATAGATATCAATGTGGCGGTAAACTATTATATAACTCAATAAGAGTACGTGTATGCGTGCGTTTTCGTTTCCATTACTTTCAAAGGGAAATTTATTTTAAATTTGATGGTTTGTTGCACACAACTATCTTTATGCATTTATTTTATTGATTTTTAAATTTCGATAGCTCGTTATTTTTTTTTTTTTCTTCTTTCATTTATTCATATCGACACAACCACGCGCTCACGCACACAACGAGGCAAAGAGAAATTGAAAAAAAAAAATAGTTATTTTATCAATTAATCTCAAATATATGCCATTTAATTAAATATTATAAATTTCATTAAAATTTCCGCAAATACATTAGGCATCATACTCAATAGCATCATCATTATTCGGAGGTAGGCGTATCTACGTATGCACGTATGACATACCGACGATTGAATCTGTCATAAAGTGGCAAATAATTAAAATTGCAAATTATTTATTATGTTGAATAAGTCAAACCATAAATAAATTTGTGGGCGCACATATGGGCAAATTTACACGTGAACGAAACGCATAATCTTCTTCTTACGTCCGCAAACATTGTTGAGGTGACCTAAAAATTGAAACAAAGGACTATCTAATGAACCTTACTAAGTGAATAAAATAATTGCAAGGCGTGTGTGCTAAGAAAAATCAAGCCCATAATGCTTAAACCGATTCGGTTTGCTTCTCCAGGGAGTAGAGAGAAAAGAATAGATTTGACGGAGCTGTTATTTTACTGCTATAAGCAGCTATACATATTGGAAAGACCCATAATTAACTTTTCAAAATGATTTTGATAGCTTTACGATCGAAAAAATAAATAGATAACTAATTTTCGATACCCGATAATAATGGCTGAACATAGCCGGCTGTTTGCCGACCTATTTTGTACATTCATTTTAATCAATTTATCTGTAGCATAAGCATTTCCAATCGATATCTTGCTTGCCACACACATTTACACACACGGGCAGAGTGATATGCCACTGATATACGCCACATAGGGTCTCAAAAGCTTCCTTCTGGATCTTGCAAGCGTTTTGAAGGAAATGAATATACCCCACACTGCAGGTGGAGTGTATAAAAAGGTCAGTTTTCACTTATCTATCTTGAAAGCGGTACATCAACATTCCCCACACCCAAGATATGTTAAGTTTTCGCGTATGATTATAACACCCAAACGGACTTGAGACCTTTTATTTTATAGATCAATAGAGAAAATGATTCTACACGTATTTGTCCGCCTGTTCATCTGGTGTCTGTCCAAGTTTTCTTGTATTCAGCTTGCAGGCGGACATATTTTAGACCAGGCACAGAACCTATTAAAAATGATTGGGATTGGACCACTTTCTCGATCATTCCCCATATAATCTTGATCTTTTGATAAGTCGTTATATGAACATCTGAAAGTTGGTATAAGGCGTTTAATGGTGATCCGTTGCCTACTGTAGTGGTATAAAGGTGAAGGTAGGTTACTGACCTTGCAGGGTCGAATTTTGAAGCCTTACATTAATAAAACCAGTAACGAGATCGTTACGTACCCTACACCACATAATTTCCATGAAAGCCCCCATATTGGAAGATGCTTGGATATTATCGTGGTCCTAATAAATATGTCCTACTTGTACCTTGTGCTGTGATCAATACCATAAAGGATCGGTTTTGAATATCTTATTTCAATGAAGACTCCACTAAAGGATTAATATGGACGATGAGGTTTTCCGCTTCTTCTCAGTACAAAAATATGAAAGCCCATATCAGTTGAGAAGTCACAGTTTCGTTTTTACATTAAACTTTACAACCGAATTTTTACATCAAAAAAATTTCAAATACCAGTCTAAAGTTTGACAGACTTTTAAATACATATTATATGGACTACGGCCTGTAAGAATTTTGTCGACTAATCGACACGCTAGCACTTCCCTTATAAGTGGATACAAAGAATTGATTTCAGGGCGGACGTGATTTTCTTCTTTGTTCAATTCGAAAAAAGTCTTGTAGAGACGGAGGGCTATGGAGAGCTCATTAGTGCACCCTTTTTGACAAGGTTTCAACAACGAATATATACATATATTTACACGATTTTTATATAGGTGCGGCAACCTATTTGCTTAGGTTTGGTTTTTAAGCTAAATTTTAATTACATAATCATAATGAAAATTGAAAAATACTACTCTATGACATCGTAGAGAATGGAGCTTACATTAAGACGCACGTCTGCACACTCATACACACACATATTAATCGTTAAATTTAAGAGTAGATACTTGTAAAATAAAAATCCTTTCTTTTTTTTTTTGTTTTTTTTTTTAGAGTTGAATTGAAATATTAAAATATATCATAAATATACTGAGTAAGAATGAAACGTGAATTAATGCAGTAAAATGATTTCAAGCTTACTTAAAGAAAAAACTGCAAAAAATGTGTGTAAATCTTCCTAATCTAAAATATAAATCAAAAGCATATAAATAAAAAAGAAAATTTTATAGATTCGTTTCAGGGCGAATCATGAATACTCACTCGTCAAGCGAATCGCTTTTGCAACGATACCTTTTCCTTTTACTCGTTTAACAAAAATCTATAATTAAGGGAACACCTAAGCTATTAAACCTTGTGATTGTCTTCGTTTCTATTAAATATTTCATCGGCCGATTGAAAGGCAAGAATAACCTAAGATTTCCGACGTCGTTCTCAGTTATTCAGGGGTCAGGTGGATTGGTTTTAAAATTCAATCTATACACTTGGACGAAGAATATCATCTAATGAAAAGACGGACGATAGCAACCAAAAACGCAATAAGAGTCTAAAGTAACACTTAATTGGGATCTCCGATGCATAATATGATGACATATATATACGTATACTTACCAACTTTCAACTCCTTTTTATCCGATTATGAAAGCGTTAACGGCGATTGTAAATTAATTAAGATACAGCATATAATAAAATAATCAAAATCAAAATAGGGGATAATACCTAATGAATAATAAATTGCGTTGTACAACAACAATTATATATCATATGAACGGTTTGATGTACGTGTACTCTGTAAGAAAAAGTATTCTAATCTGTATGGCGTGGAACATTGTTGTAGCTAAATTTATTCAATTATATAATATATAAGACATTAAAAGTTATTAAAGTGAATTTTGTTTTTCCAATAAACTATTAAAATTGAGAACTTTTTTTCTTGACCCTTTATTACATTTCATTGCATATTTCGCTTAAACATGACAAATAAGTTGAGAATTAATATCTAAATCTTTTCGAAATTTCTTAGGAAGGGTAAGTAGTTAAGTTAAAATACGCATCCCTGCCTCTTTTATGTTTTTTAATTGCATTGTATCTATATTCAGACCAGAATTCAAACCCCTTAGATGCCCTTTAAAATTACCAGTCTTGCGCGCTAAATGAAAGGTGAACGGTCTGGGCCGATCTTTTAAAAAATCAATTATCGGGCCAATGGCCTCTACGAATTGAAATTATATTTTCAAGGTGAAGAAAGAAGACGGTTTCTTTAATGCAATTCTCCTTGTATCGGTTGTGCGTTTTGAATTTTGGCAACAGGCACAAACACGAGAAACTGACGGTTTCAAGACACTTGGAATGTTTTTTAAAACATTCTGATTTCGAAATTTCCTGAATTTTTCATAACGAATTACTTATAGACGTAATAACATTGAGCTTGTGTTTGTAAACCTAAAAAAATTTGAGAAAATGCTCAATTGGCCTAAACCTATTAACACAATTCTTGGCTTTCTTATAATTTGATCGTTTAACCCAGAGAGTTGACGCGCGGATTTCCGTATTCTGAGATCAATGCCACAAATTGACTTTGTAAATAGGCATACGGGGCCAGCACAAGCATTCATAATGCCTAAATAGGAAACGACTTCCAACAAATCTCAGTTTTCAATAAATTTTGTCTTTTGTTTGTATTTCGATTTTCATTAAAGTATGAAGGGTGAAAACTACCAGAACCAGATAAATATTTGCCTTACTTCTTTCAATTACATTAAAAACCTTCGAATTTGTTTTAATCACTTCTCTTTTCATTTACCCGATATTTTAGAAAAGTAAGGTGCACATATTTTCACACATATGTCAATTAAGAAAAATGCGTGTAGTTATAACATTTAACGGATGGGTAGTAAAAAAATATTAAAATTCCTTTTTCATTAGCGTAAACAAATGGGATAAGGACAATAAGAGTTTGTATATGCTTCTTGGCGTCATAAATACTTTTACAAGCCAAATCATAAGTTTCCCGTCAAATCGATTCCACTTCTTTCTAAAGAACATCTTAAGTTTGCGGCCACATAAAAAGTTTCCACGGTTTTTTGGTACATATTTAAGCAAAAATTTTGTTCATTGAAAATCAGTTTTAATCAAGTGCACATTGACCATTACTATGTATGAGCTTTTGCTATTTTTCGGGTAGCTTCGTAAGTCTGTCGGCGTAAAACTTCTGTGGTTTATCGTCGAAAAACTTGGTCGAGCGATTTTCAGCGGCACTTCGGTTGGCCAATTTTTTACCATCAACAGAGTTTTGCGGGGACTGAAAGAAATGGTAGTCAAATAGTGCAAGGTCCTTGTTATATAGTGGATGCATCAAAACTTCCCAACCAGCTTCAGCCAATTCGTTTAGAGTCATCAAAGACGTGTGTGACCACGTATTGTCACGATGGAACACACCTTCCTTCCTGTTGGCCAATTCCGATCGCTCTTTCTGAATTGCTTCGTTCAAATGGTGAAGATGTACACAGTACAGAACTAAATTGATGGTTTCGCCAAGTTGCAGCAGATCACAATGAACAATTATCTTCTCATCCCACCAAACTCTCAACATTTTTCATGACCTGTAACGGTTCGCTTCAAAAATTGTTCGATTTCGTTACGTTTCAGCAGCGTTTCACCGATAGTTATTCGGTCAATCTAATTTCTTTGCGTTAATTCATGTGTGCCACATGAATTAATTATAGCCTACTCCTTTCAAATGATTCCAAACTGTCATGTGGTCGATGCATCACATAGCGTATTTCTTTGGATATTATACCCATTTTCGAATCAACATAACTTTTACCGACTAAAGAATTGCAAAATTGTTTGCACCCAAAATGTAAGCTGAAATTTCACCTTTTAAGCACATGTTCCTTTGAAACAATCAGGTCAGTGTTGCCAGATATATAGACATCAATACCATTTAGTCGCAGAAAACCGCCGCGACTTTTTATTTTCAATATAAATTTACGTAGTTACCATATTTTCTTACTGAAGGACGCATGAAGATCGTAAGGTATAAAAACTATAAATAATATGTAAATATTTTATATTGGCACCTCTGTCGAACTTAGCGCAATTGCTTCTTTTTCTCGTCTCAACTCTTACTTTAGTTTGTTTTGTTTGTTAATATAGAGGATTGTGTGATTTACAGATTATATTAGTTTTTGCTTACAGATCTAAGCTCTGAAATATCTATACAGATAGCAAAAGCACAACAAAAAAATGTCTACCAAAGGAAATTGCGAGGTTTTCGTCGGCGATAATAAAGACAAAAGTAAAATTGTGAAAAACATTACGAAAGTATTGGACTTTTCTGAAGACATAAACAGTTTGCAACGTTTGCAAGCATCGCATTCTCCCACTATGTCTAACGAAAGTGATCTATCATTCTCTTGGTCGATGGATCATGAAGTCGAAACATACACGAACGCTATTGATGCTGATGAATTGCCAGCTTTCGAAATTCGACTAATATCGCCGTTGGGACGTACACCGTCTCCCATACGAAGTGAAAACATGTCACCGTCATTGAGAACACCAAATTTTGAACATCTAATATCCAATAACTGCCAAAACGATCCCGAGTTCGTTGCTCTTCAGGACATAAATGCTCAAATTAGCCCGCCTAGTGAACATAGCGATGCTGACACCTCACTTCAACGTACTGGTAGCTTAGAAACTATTTTCGAAGGAGTATTTTTAAATACACCTCCTCGTCAACGACTCAGCATGCAATCCCGTTCAGGCAGTCGAAATCGCAATAACCTCTTAGAGAAAGTGACCTTTAATCGTTTGTTTTGTTGCACAGAGAACAAATCGCCACAGTCAATGGAACGTCAGCTATTATCATCGTGTCCTTTAGATTTTAAATCCTTATCTCTCACCGAAGAAACCTTATGATAAATTTATATTATACTACTCTACTTACTTGTAATTAAAATAAGCACCGCATAGCACAGCATCATGCAAATTAATTTCATTTAATATCGAATCGAATCGAATTTAATATTCAGAGTAATAATATTTGTTAGGTACATTGATCGGTGTATCGAAGAGAAAAAGAAAACTATTTTAATTTAATTACTTTGATTTACTCCGGTTAAACGTTTTTCTCAATATTAGTGTTGTTTCTATTCAAAATTCTAAAGTGCTTAGTGTAATTTTAGATGGTTCAATCAATTTTATACTATCGTGTCCAATTTCTCAGTAAACTAATAACACAACTTTATTTTGCATTGTCTCTCTCTTCATATTCCAAATATAGTTTATATTAAAACTTCAAATTAGTAAAAAAAAGTGTATTTTATTGCAATGGAAATATTGCGTTGTCATAAAAATCTTAAAAGACTAAATATATAAATCAGGTAATAAAATAAGGAGGAAAGCAATTTTAAAGGCAAATGTAACACGCGCACGTATATGTTGACGCTCGTGCAATTATGCACGTATGCGAACTTTAGATGTCGTGAACCATATATACATACGTATGAATGTGTATTTCAAAAATATTTACAGACTTACGCTTCCACTGCACTTGGCCGAAACGGATGTTCGCATAGCCGCATCCATATTTATGGCGGCTAGTGTACTTTATCAATTAGTTACTGGAATTTGTCAGAAGTTCTTTGAGTGACGTGAAGCTGGAAAAATTTTTACTTTTAAAAGGCCTGCGTTTTCATTATGCCACCTGCAATTAATTACTTGTAAAATAATGCAAAGATAATGGCTTAAAAAATCAAGATAAACGCACTTTAAATTACGTTCCTGCAAACGGGCTTTGACTTTACTCTTAATCGTTGATACGCCGCCGGCACTGTGAAGACCGCGGCCGGTAATTATAAACACATTCTTATATGAATCTGACGATGAACGCAACTCGGTGATATGACGATCCAAGAATATATCTAAACATTCCAAGGCTTCGGCAACGTACAGATAATGCAGGTCCAAGAGATCCTGATTGTTTTGGTTGTATTTGTGAACTTCCATAATGCAATTGGCCGCTACTTGATTGTACATATCAATTTTTTTTTTATGCAGTTCTGTTATTTGAGAATAATAAGGCGCAACAGCACCTTGACCTCTTACGATCGCTTCCTGGGCTTTCTTGTAGCACTCATTTTTCAATTGTCTATGATGGTCAGCCAAATTTCGAGTTTCTTCAAATTTCCTTAGAACCGTTTCTTTTATATTATCGTCTTTAATATCGAAGAGCTCTTTGCTATCTATTTGTTGTTGTTTTTGGAGATTAGTTTGAACTTCTTGATTTAACTGTAAAATAATAATACAATACAACACAAATAATAATTATGTACACTGTTAATCTAAATATACAATTTTCAGTGCTCAGAAAGCAGCAAACCACCTATACTACTCTAGCTAACTCAAACTGACTCCACTGTCTACATACACATATTTTCGAGGTTTACGTATTCGCTCAATTTTGTAATTGTTAGAGCACTCAGAAAGACCTAGAAGAGCTCCGGGTGCTTATTTGGCACATTTCTATTCAGGTTTTAAAAATTTAATGATAAAGCTAGCCGAACGTCTTTTTTTACTATTGGATTGGAAGATACTCACCAATTCTTTTTTCCGCCGAGCACATTGCATCAAACGTTCTTGTTTTTGGTTTACTGTATGCAAGCTTTGTCTATCGGATTTGCTACCTATATTCATGGTGCTTTGAAGTATCGACACAGTCTTATTGTAGTTGTTACCGTTTGCACCCAGTATGTCCAGTAAAGTATCCCGTGGAATGTCAGGAAATGTTTCACAAAGTTTCATTTGCGTTAAATGAGTAGCCAGGTCCTTAGGTTTATCACCTTCTTTCTCCTGATGTAGTATGTCCTCACGATCCTGATTAAAAATCATTAATGCCATTTCCATATCCAACAACTCTCGCACATTTGCGGGGGACTCTTTGCATTCAGCGTATTTTGGGCTCTTCAAAAGTCGAGCAAACTCTTCGTCCTCCCGTATAATCTTTTGACGTTCTTCTTCTATATAGTGATGGACAGACTCCATGCACAACATGTATAAACGCTTGGCTAGCGAGCGTGACATAAACACATTCATGTTGACTGGCAGTTTTGTGCGCGTTTGATTTAGCAAGGAAGATGTTTCATGGCGGAAATATTCAATCAATTGTTGTATTAACTTTTCACCTAACGTTATTTCCAGCATTTCCTTATTGTCGCTTTTCTCTTTTTCGTCGCTCTCATCATCGTCGTCACTATTTTCTATTACGCTTTGTATGTCCGTCTGAGTCTCAACATCATGAAAGTTAGAATTTGCTTTGATTGGTGACTCCTGAAATTCCCTATCCATTTCATTGTCATATATTTGTAACGTCTGTTGTTCCGTATAATGTTCGCTTTCCAACACGAAAGATTTCTGAATAAATTCCTCTAGTTCGCGAAAGGACGAAGTATTATGTTGTTTGGAACGAGACCATCGACTGCGCTTTCTCTGGCGTTTTGGTAGATTTTCATTACTCATTACATTTTTATCTTGCAATGGTGTGGATGTATTCTTTGAACTGTCCCTTAACATTTCATTGGAATTCTTGCACAAACATATAAAATCGTCATCATTCACATAATCAACGTTTTCTTCATCGCTATTTACTCTTATCATTTCATCTTCCTTAAGTAATAAATTCGCTACCCAGTCTGCGTTTCCGCTGCATTTTAAAAATAAATCCCATAAACTAGATACATCTTCTTTTGGATATATTTGCCGTAAGGCAACAAATGCCGAATTCTCATTTGGGCAACCTACGCTGTGACGATCTGTACTTAGGACTGTAGCAGGTTTGCCCTCCTCCAAAGAGTCGTCGTCATTCATGGCTACAGGCACATTGAAATTTTCCTTAATTATGTCCAATAAAGTTTTATCACTACCAGCTTTTACATTGGCATGTTCTTCTTTACCTTTCGTTGAGGATTCATTTGAACTCCAAAAACCCTTTGCATTTTTTTCAGAGGGTTTCCAAGCTTCACTAAACGTTCTTTGTTCGCTCGTTTTCTGTGGAAAGAGTATAGTTGATGACGAAGATGGATACGCCCTTGATCCTCTATTGCGTTGCTCTTTAGGTTCCCTGGGATCTTTGTAAGGCTTCCACTCTGTATCCTCTAGCATTAATGTGGTAGAGTCATTAGAGTTCTCTATAGACCTGCTATTATTCCACGGTGAAATGCTTTTTGTTGGCAACACGTTATCATTGGAATTTTCCACGTATTCACTATTAAAAATTTGAAATTTTTCTTCGGTTTCAATTTCATACTGCGGTGCAACTATTACAGGTGGATAAGAACGTAGTTGGGGCAATGGAACCGTGTATTTCGTATCTTTAAGCATCTGTAATATAAAATTTGCTGTTCAATATGTATGAAGCAAAAGCGAAGAATCGAGTACGAAACAAGCGCTAATAATCAAACCTTTAACAAATCACTAGTATTTCCTTTTTCATATTTATCCAGCATGCGTTCGATGGTTTCGCGCGGCACTTCATGTCTATTTAACATCGCTAGTTTACGTGACGACTTATGCCATGAGGTTTTTGGCTCGAGCAGCTCCACTAAATAACCGTTTTTTACAGCAATTTGAACATAAGGTAACATTTCCCACAATTTCATATTTGTATTATCCACGATAATAGGACTCCATCCGTCTTCTGCCTTTTCGCGTGCTCGCCTTTGATTATGATCGTGAGCTTCAGCTAGGCGGTCAATACTGTATTTGTAGCGTCCGGCGGAATCATAAAAATAATCATCGCTGCTTAATACAAAATCGCGTATATCTTTTTCAGGCACCTGGGGCATATACTTTTGCATCAATAAATGAGCTAAATAAGTTTTACCCGAACCCGGAGCTCCACGCATAATTATCATAATGCGATAACCTGAATTTATTTGGTCGCCTATTTTTAATTCTTTGCTGGTTTCGTCGTCTAAAGTTCTGTTATTTGAGTTGGCATATGAATTGTTAATGCTGTTGCAAGACCTTTGAACTTTATTAAGCGGCGGTGAGATTTTTGGTATGGCACCAGAAGTTGTTAAAGGACGACTACTACAACTAGCCGTGCTATTATTGATTTCGTCCGTCTCTGTCTCAACCAATTGATCAATACATGTGTTCACTGGGTAGCAAAATCAACAGAATCAACTGCACACTAATATTTGATTGTTCAAAACGAAGGTCTACTTACAATTCCAATCATTAGCTTCACAAACAATACGTAAGCGCTGCATTGAAATTCCTCGAAACATATCCGATAATTGCTGCAACGTATGCTCACGATCTCCCTCCAAAGGCATTTTTATTTTGATAATGGATTAATTTTTAATTCTCCGTTAGTGGTACCGCGCCGATTTAGCGATTTGTGCTTCTTAATAATGTGCACGCGCTCTGCTGTAAATCAAATAGTTTCCGTAGTAAAATATTAATAAAAATTTCTTGCAAATTATCAGAATTTTTGGTTACAAAACAATAGATAACAAACTCATACAAACAACAAATTTATCATAATTACTAAAAATTGAACAGTATTGCCATATTCACGTAATTTCACTTTAATCTGTAATACGATAAACAAATATCGCATTGCAATCGAACATTTTTAAATTGAAATATCCAACACCAAGCCGACAGTATGCTAGATTTACCAAACCATTTGTAATACACTGAAACAAAGGTATTATCGATTTTGATAAGCTTAAGATTCTGAGGCGATTTAAGTTTGTTTTCGTATGCATATGTCTATTGTTGGAATGTTCACAATATTGTTACTTGGCTTATACACTGACGGTCGCAGAACTATTTTTAAAAAGGCGTGATCGGCACCCAATCACTGCGAGAAACAAAAAATTGCAATCTATAACAGTTATTGGTTTTTTATTCTGTAATGTTATTTAACGAAATCCATGGAAAAATCGGAACGATTGATTCATTTGTAAACACACCCATAATTAATAGAAATCTATAACTTATATAAGAGAGATTTAGATATCTAAAACTTGATACAACGCTTTCGAAGACCTACATAAATGCCAGGCTTATTTATTTAACTACAATGCGTAAGTTGGTATATCAGTGATTGTAGTGATGACTAAATTGAACATAAATCGCCTGCATGCCTTTTATAAATACAGCATCAATAAATTGTTATTCAGCAAAAACTTCTCCAAAAATATAAGACTTCACTTTGAAATTCGTGCTGATTGCGCATTTAACTACTGAACATATATTTAGGGAAGCAATATTCGCGTTTAGTTCAACTTAGCAAGATTCGAGTTCTATGAATCGATTATTCCTATCTATTAATTCTGTTATTTCACTTCATCGGCATGATTTCAGCAAAGGAAAATTATCTTAGGCCTATATTTCCTACAATCGGTATACATAGCGAGAATCAGCTACATTATTTTATTTGCAATCATTTTATTAAAAAATCTTAAAATGAAGCCCCAAAAAAATTTTATATTTTCTTTTTTTGTTCTTCTGTATTGCTCCGCTTACAAAAATTCATTTTACTACGACGACTTCGCCAGCAAAACCGGGTATACCAGCCTCAATTAACATTTCTTTTAAATCATTGACGGGCAAGTCTTTACCAATAACAATTAATTCTAAGAATTCTTGAAATTCCTTAAAGTCCAATCGCCATTTCCTTAATTGCAATGCAAGAAAATATTTTTTTTCATTATCTTTATATATATATAAATATATACATGTATATATATAACGGTATTACCTAAATTTCATATAGGCTAAGCCAGTTTCAGTTAAAGTAAATACAGTTCTCAAGAGTTTGGCTTGCTCGAGCCACATATCAATTTGCGACAAGAGTATAGCATCATGATCTTCATTATCTATATCCAAGGTTATTACAATATAGTTGCAATAAAGATGAAATAGCGACTGCAAAGTGTGCTTTTTAGGTTTATCATCATCATCGGCCATTTTGTTCAAATTTCGTTAAAAAAACCGATATATAGCTGAAATATGGTAATTTTCTTTAAAAAAGCAAAAAAAAAAGTTACCAATATTCAGACGACAAATTACAAATGAAAATAAATAAAAAAAATTTGTCATAGTAACTAGTCTGTCTATCCATAGGAATTTAAGTCAATTACCCATTAAATTGGCAATTAAGAGATATAGTCTCAGCCACTATAATTGTAATCTCTTAAAATTCAAAAGTAGAAAAGTACTAACTTTGATCCGTGTGTTGCAAGAAATACACAAAAGCACGTCTTCAAAGATCCTTTCAATCGACCATCACACACCTTGAAATAATAACAAAAAAAAAAAAAAAATTTTTGCAAAATTGTTAATTTGAGAGAAAGGAACAGAATGTGTGTTTCATCACCTTAATTAAGCGAAGCGAACTTCATATAAATTTTTCATTAAAAATTTTTATCGGTAAGAAGGCTTCAACAAACTAGTTCTCGGCGGTAACTTGAAAGAATAAAGTGCCCCTAAACCGTGCCGTTTCAAACATAAGTAATTTTAGCATTTTCAGTTAAACGGAAGACTTTCAATACACAATTCCAAATACGTTTGATTAGCATTGGCAGCGTTACTAATTTAACCATATTGAAAATATGACTTAAAGTGGTGCAAAGATATGATTTTGAATATTTCCTTTTTCTACATTCTGGTTGAAGTCTCCAATTTTCTGACATGTTGTCTAAATTCCGTAGCAATTGGCAAACAGCTGTGATATCTACCTCACTAAAATCCTTTTTGTGGTAATTGTTCTTATATTAATATATATAGAATTCAAGCCACAAATCTATTGGCTTAGTCCATCTCCATTCAACATACCAAAAAAAATATATATATATACAGAATTTGGTTGCGTGATATGCATAAACACTGTGCAGTTACGATGGTACCATGTATTTTCTTTTAATTTCGATACATATTTATTTCAAAAATCAAAGCTTATGATGGTGACGGCTGGTGGTCGATCTAAACATCCTGTTCAGTTTCTTTATCGTTGGCGAAAATGCGTTGCTTTCCTTTTATTCATTAACTCTTGTATTTTTGTTTTTATTTTTTATTTACAATAAATTGTATCGCAATAATAATTCTAAATATAATATAATAATAATAATTGTTTGCGTAATAGATTGTTTTGAATTTTTTTTTTTTTTTTGTATGTTTTATTATTTATGATTTTCTCGCCATATGTATACAAAACGAAGGAATCATTAATGTAAGAAAAATATTTATGAATAATAACAGACACTATACAAATGTGGACCAAAACTTGAGAAATTGAGAATGGGATGACACTAAAGTATATATATGTAAATAAGATGATATATATATATATAAATATATTTAGAATTTAAATGAATCGTACAAATAGTATATGAGAAGTTTAAAAAGAGAAAATAAAAACAAGTGTAAAAATCAAAACAATATTAAAAAAGAAGAAAAAAATAACGCAATTAATAAAACGGATATTTAAAATATATTGTTGTATATGTTGTAGTGATCATTGATTGGCTGCTGTTGTTGTAGTGCCTCCTACATTTCTAATGTTTTATTAAGAAAGTTTTCCCTATTTCCGCTTTAAAGTAAATTTTTTTTTCTTTTTCTTTATATATTTTTTTTATGTATTGAATACATGGAAATTATTTTCGTAAACGCATGCGGAAAACTTTCATCGATAGCATTAATATTCAAAATTAATACAGATGTAGTCTTTTTATTCATCTTTGGGAAAATAACTTTTTTCGGTTTTCTCATTATTTCCTTTATTATTGTTTGCTTCACTGCATCTCTTGTTGTTGTTTTCTTTCTTCAAGATTTTACAATGTGTAATTTTTGTTATTTTAAAGAAGACACACAAAAGTATATGTAAATGTAGATTTTCGTATATACGTACGTGTAGCCAGGGAAAAAGTGCTTTCCGTATAATTTTTATTTTTATTATTATTATTATTATTATTATTTTTTTTTAATATCAAAAGGAATGATATATAAAAAAGAAGCCTTACTTATGTCGAATTCTACCTTACATGGGACCATCGACATGGCTTACTTTTAAGCGGAAATAATAGAATGACCGCATGCACAAAAATGCTCCGATTACAAAGAGGGCTACGTAAGCTACGAAAACGCCCGAATGTTCCTAAAATTTAATTAAAAAACCAATATCTATTGAAATATATGTACATTTTTTTCAGTCTTACCTGAGCATATCTATATGTACCCACTGTAATACCGATGCCGAACAATAATACCAGTAAACCAAATACAGCAAATATAATGCCGCGACCGCAGGCGAAACGCGAGCCCACCGAAGACACCTTACGACAGTGTGGACAACGTGCCAAAGAATTGTGAAATGTATTAAACTAAATAGGGGACCATATAAATCAAACATTTTTTTAAAATAGTTTTTAAAATTTTGAAGAAAAAAAGCAAAACAATAGACTAACCAAAAATGTATCGGAGCAGTGACCGCAAGTAACACGACACATACCAGGCATTGTGGGTACCGGTGGTGTTACAGGACTGGGTGCCAAGTTGATAATACGCTTGCAATTTGGTCGTGGACAAGCGATACGTTGAGATGATGATTTACAAATCAGTAAACAATTGCAAGGGCAACGCACATATTTCTTGCCCGGCGGTGCATTGCGTATAGGCTATAATAACAGTCAGAACAATAATATCAGTAACAAAAATGCATTAAATTACACAAGTTTGTATGCTTACTGTTGCTTCATTGCAGTGAGTGCATTTGACAACATGCTGATCACGTTTCGTAGCTATGTCGATCATACTCTGACAAACACGACAAGTTACCATAGGTACTCCACCAGTGTTACCTTGCTGGTATGGTGGTGGGACCTCATCAGGACCAATACAGGGCACATTGGTTTGTGAAGCATTGCCTATATATTATAAGAGAAGAAAAAAGAAAAAAAAAACACAATAAAATATACGAAATTATACAATCATTCGCCGAGGATAGGGTGTACTCGACATGATATGCTCCTAAATCTTTACAAGTTATACACATTCCTGATTAGCGTATCATTTTGCGTTGATTTATCATTGCCCTTTTCCAACAGAGAAGAGAACTAAAATTCAAAGTTTGAATTTGCCGCATGTTTTAGGAGGTGAGAAGCTCACTTTATATGTCTTCCTATCTATCATCTCGATTCAAATGTCAAGTATCAAGTAAAACTAGTTCGACCTAACATTAAAGACCTGAGCTACATCTCTTGCACAAAAGGCTCAGTGTTCTCATTACTTTCATCAAATTTAACTGTAACACGCACATACGTATATGCTGTTACTTTATGAACAAAAGAAAATTCAACAGCTCAGACCTTATGATCTTGCATGGTCAATAATTTTTAAATTATTAAATCTAGCGATGGAAATTATACGCATCTGAAGATATGTCATAAAAGTACATGAAAATTATCTTTTTTAATATATGATGTTTTTTTCATCACAAATAACGGAAAAAATATTAAAAACCTGAGGAGTTCAATCGAAATAATGTCAATGTTAATATAAAAGAATACAACGTCTGTTTATATGCAGTAAGCCGATGTCTGTACACTGTACACAACGAATATTGTGTAAATCAGAAAAAACAAAAAACAAAAAATTTTTATTTCAACTCAACAACTTATGTTATCATGTAAAGTAATAATAAAAAAAAAAAAAAAGTGCATGGAATAAAAAAAATGGAAAATGTCTATCTGGGCGTTTATAATTTCACTGTAAAGAAGACTAAAAATATTTCTTTCATAAAAGCGACTGGAACAAATGAAATATCTGTACGAAATTGAAATAGAATTGTTTATAATTGCTGGAGACTTCTCGCATAATATATGCAGTAACAGAAGCTATTGCAAAATTTGCCTTTGCTTGCTTAGCCCCGTTTTCCTACAATAAATATTCGTTCACCCTTGCGATCTTTATAATCATCTCGATACGCAAACAACGGAACGTTTTGCAGCAAAATTTGAATCGATATATACATAATAACGCTGTAAGAACGCAAAGAGAACATTAGGATTATGAGCAAGAATATTAGTAAGAATACATGTTCATCATTTACATTTCGTTCTCTTTAGGGGAAAAAATATCAAAAAAATTGTAGATGAGACCGTCTTTACAAGGATATGGAAGATATTTTTATCGCAAATTTTAGATTAATATCAGTCCTAGATATATATTTAACGAAAGTATTCGCGGATCAATCATACTTATTTTTGCTTTAAATCTTTAGTGGGTCGCGTTTTTGAACTACCATCTGCTTTAAATCATAACTTAACATAAGTTTTTTGCCAAATCATATCTACTACATTAAAACTTAATAACTTGCCGTTCATTAAGACTATGTAAACAAAGCTGCACAGGTATCGCACATAAAAATAGAGTTCTGCTCACCACTTAGCTATCATTGACGAGTATACTTGTCATGAAGAAATGGTAATATTTTGTGGTATAGCGAGTATACTCGTCGAGTGCTCGTACACTTAATTTTTAGGCACACACAATTTAAGTGCACATTTTTAAAAGAGGTCGCGACATCTAACTGATTAAGAGATTTACAAACAAAAAAAAAACAAAAAAAAAAAAAAATGAAGAATTTACATCGATTTTAAAATATAGTTTAGTTTACACGACGTATAAAAAAGTAAAAAATTTTCATTAATTGAAAGAAAGCAATTCATCCAGCAAGAATAAACGCGAATGTATGAAAATTCTCGGGGACACAAACACTTACCTTAAAAAATTTGAGATAAATTGTAATAATACTTCAAAACTAACTGCATTCTCTTTATTATTATTTCAATATTTCGCGCTGTATCACAAATTGCCACTTTAGTGCTAAACATTCACGATCCATGCTTTTGACACGTCGCTTTTGATAAAAAGATCGATCGTTGATCTCATCAATTGCGATCACCTTATCCTTACCCTTTGTCGAACTTTTTCAATTGTTGCAATCTGTCATGCATAAAAGTCCAACTGGCAAGTTCATAATATACATTATATAAATCAAAAGGTCGATATGTCAATTTTTTGGGGCCGTGTTCACGCCAGGAATACATTCTCCATTCGAGTACATTAATTCCTTAGCAATGTATGTCAGTAGTAATGCGAAGCTTAGTTTTAGGAAGTTCCGTAAAGCTGCATATCATTTAGACGCCGCCCTCTTGTCAGGTTTGTGGGGAAATTTTTAAATAAATTGTTTTATTATTTCCCTATGAGTCTGAAGTGAGTCTTATTTACTTTTGCGGGCAACAGTTTTATCAATGAAAATAGTTTTTTTGTTCAGAAAATGCAATAAGGTCCTACTATACAGATTAAAATCTTTAGAAAAACTTATAATTACTCTAATATGTAAAACAATCCAGAAATGAAAAAAATCCTATTTAAAAACATTTTCTTGTGCTATTTTCATGACCAGAGCACGCTCTATACATATAAATCGACAAAGCGATAAAAAAGAGAAAAGATAAGGGTAAATTTTTAAGTGTAATATTTTGTTTACAACAGTGCTAAATAATGTTGTCAAGTAATACAAAAATCCTTTAATTATATAGTTTAAAAAAATGTGCTATTTATGTGTTCACTGTTGTATACACTGAATTTCAGCTTTTTATGCCGAATTTTTAAGTAATAGAAAGCTCAAAACATTGACAGATAGACGGACCAGTTTAAGTGATTACGAGTTTAGCATACCTCTGAGCAATGTTGTGACAAACAAATAACACCTTTTGAACAAATTGGTATTTTTTAAAGCGCACAAACACTTGCAAAAAATGTAGTAAAATGTTAAGATTCTCTTTCCGTCCTTTAAAAAACTGCTACACTTAATACGAGGAAAAAAATACTGTGCCAAAACGTTTATTACAAATACGTATTATGATTATTATATTTTTCTCCAAAAGATTCTAACAATTATTTTGAACTAAATCTAACTACAAGCAAATTATTTCGTCCAACACTAACATCGTTTCTCCGGACCATCATACAGACAGTCACATTGCATGCGCTAGTCTGGCCGGCAAAAAGATATTAGCTGCAGCAAAAGCAATTATTTGGTAAGAAATCGTGACCATTACCAATCAAATTTGGCCTGCTATATTATTTTGTTTACAGAATTCTTTCAAGTAGAAAAGAAGAAATTTTCTAAAAGTCGCGCTTTTTCAATTCATGCTTTTCATTATAGTTTTTTTTCTTCCTTCTTTACTAGTGAAAAGAGAAAGAATGCAACAAGAGCCTTACAAAGCCCCTGTACAGTTTATGTTGAAAAGATTTTTGTTAAATATATGTAGAAGCGATATCATAAAAAAATGACTCATGTAACTAACAAAAGCAAATTGTTAAACGACTGGCAAAGACTTTCCCCTGAAACTTTCTTGCATTCCATATAACTGATAAAGGATTGTTATGACTATTCAAAGATTTTGATAAAAAAAAAATAAAAAAATTTAATCCGGTTTTCTTATGGAGTTGTTAACGTTTCTGCACACAATCTCGTTTCTTCTTTCTTTCTTTATTCTTAATAATGTTTATTATCTGCTCATAAGTCCGTAGCGAAATTCGAAAAACTTTTCAGCTTCAATATTGAAATTATTGTCATCAGTCTTCATAATCTTCAATGGCAATGAGATTCAACTGACAATACTTGCATGGTCACGGATCTTAATGGATATTTTTTCAAATGTCGACCATAAATTTTAAATGCTTGGACAAACAACTGTAAAAGAATATTGCCGAAATTTTGATGCGAAAAGATGCATAGACGGAATTTCAATTCTAAAGCTTCCATACGACTCAACACCAAACGTTCAAATAAACTCGAAGAACTCTCATACGTACAAATAAGCAATGCATTTTTACTAGGTATGCAAAATTTGCATAATATACGGTGTCAGCAGTTAGGAGTTATGCGAGACCAAACGAAAAAGTTGAAATTATTGAAAACTATGCAATTTTAACACTTATCGGGTTTCCGTCAGACTTGGTCTGATTAAGATCTCAAGAGGTACAGCAACGTTTAAAAGCTAACAAGAAAATAACGTACACATATTTTTATGCATGTTTCACTTAACCACATCACTGAAAGATTTACTATTATTTACGACATGCGGTTAATGAACTATAACAGACAGATATTTTCCCTTAGTAGGCTTTATATTACAGCACGTAATACTAAAGGTGTAAAGCAAGCGTTTATGATTTTTGTATGGAAATAGTAATTACCTTCTGCTGGAGGAACTTCTCCTTCTCCGGGTGCTGTCGGAGTAGTAGTAGTGCCAGCACTTGTTGAACTGTACGCAGAGGTATCCTCATTTTTCAATAAACTTTGTTTTTCCGGATTATTAACCATTGCTTCTAAAGGCAAAAGTCACGCAAAATTCGTTTTATACGTAAAAATATAAATAAAAATTTCGGCAAAATGTTTAAAGTTTTACGCTAACAAATATCTTGCTGCTTATTCAATTGTAAGTTGCACTTTCAGTAGTTCGATACTTCCTTGTTAACTAGAAGTAAAGAAGAATGAAAGAAATTTCAAGAACGGCAAGTAGTTTTTTTCGATTAAATCTCTAATTTTTTTCCATCTTTGTCTCTCGTGCTTTTTACGAAATGGATGCCATAGCCCAACGCAAATTCTATAAAATAATAGCAATTTAATTTAAGAAAAACTTGCATACTCTATTTACGCGTAAAAAAAAAATCGAGAAAACTTCTAAATATCATTTTATCTTCCACTATAAATGAATAAATATTTCAACAATTGACTTCTTTTTTTTCAGCAAGTTACCGAAAGGGGTTTAGATATTCATTTTCATTTTCTTTGTTCCTTTGCCGTTTTATCGTCGTACATATATGCACAGTCCATTCTCTTTTAGATTTCTTTAAGATTTTTACTAAACATTCACTGATTTATTGCTATTACTTTATATATTTATGGTTATTTTCCAATTTACCTACTACTTTTTTAAATTATTATTGTTTTGCAAAAACTTATCTACCGAGGAGTGAGAAATTAATAAAACTGCACAATTGATTCTTCGCGAATAAAAAACTCTTGCCGATACAACGGCTAAAGGTTGCCACAGTTTTAAACTCCAAGATACTTTTTCACGGAACAAGAAGTTTACTTTAACGTTTAACTTACATATGAGGTAATATATACAGGGATTAATTGATAGTACGAATTATTTGACGTATGCAGTAAAGTATTTATTGTAAAAATTTTTTTATTTGATTCTAATAGCTAAAAAGATAATTACTATTGCTACTGTACTACGAAATATTATCTATAGTAAACACTTATACTGACTTCAAGCAAAAGTTGTAAGATTGCGCGCTGCTCATTAAGAGAAATACAGACACAAAAATAAGGAATGGGTATTTGCTTGTTAAATAGAAACACTATCATTTTCAACAGCATTTTTGCGGAGTCTACCAATAAGTCATAACTTTATTAGGACATAATGTCGAGTAACATCCTTTACAATGAATGAAGAGAAAGTTCAAATGATTTATTTCAACAGAAAACCGTTAACATTCTCGGAAAGGCGGGACAATTAAACGATAGAGTGGGGACAATAAAGAATAAACGTCAAGAACGATGAGATCACATCAACAAATCGTACAATCTATAGATATTTATAGATTTTGGCTTTACGCCGATAAAATTTTCGGTTATCTTAGTTGACATCTGTCAGTCTCATAACAGATTAAACTTTAACTCCGTAACGGCTTAACTAACGCAGGTTAATGCACGCGCACTTAATTCAGCATTTATCGCAGACAGATATGTAAGCGTATTCTACAAAAAGGTAATATAAACATATTTTATTAAAAGATAATGTAAGCATATTTTATTACAACTAAGCTCATATAAATGATTAATTATTTCACTGGGGTAAGTTCAGTTTAGTTTTGTCTTGACCAACAGCAGCGTTATCCGTTATTTGAATTCGTGCCGAAATTCATAGTTTCATTTAAAACGGTGAGTTGAGCGCCATGGACGGTCCAACCATTATATTTTTTTAAAGCGAGCCAACTTGTTCGCTTAGCTTCTATTTAAATTATTTATTCGATATCTGAAGGTTTTACATTTTTATTTGCTAATTTGAAGTTAAAGTATTGATGTGAGTTTTTTTGTATTTTCACATAGGATTCATATAATTAAAAATAATGTTTTAGTAAAACAATAAATTTATTATAGAACAGAATTGCTATCTTGCTTTTACTCACATCGCACCGTTCGTAATAAAAGGTCATTACGTTAGTATGGATTTATTTATTATTTATCTTTATTTATTTGTTTAATTTTTTTCGTCTTCAGTTATTTATCGATGAAGTTTACCAATATTTCGAACGTGAATTTATCAGCAACTCTGTCTTACATCGGAGTTCGCTTTATTTAATACGATATTATACAAGCATGTGCAAATATTCCAAACGTAGTAGTAGTATTTCATTCTAATTTTACCTTTGTCGACTTTTATAGTAAATAATCATTTAAATAATACGGGAGAGAAAAAATTCTAAAAAGTAAGTTGTTGTGAAAACATGTAATTAAAAATGCAAAAATAAATAACGATGAAAGTCAAACAGCAAATATGCGTATAAAATTTTTGATGATTTCATTTTTGCCTTGAAAAAAGATATAGAGGGAGAGGAAATTCGTGTCGTCGCATAGGGAGACAAAATGGTATTAGACAAGCAAAATGGATAAATCTTGTGAATTAAATATGTGTGCGTGTTGTGTGATAATAACAGGAAAAGTCAACAACAAACCAACAATACCATTTAGTTTTAGATATTGACAAAAAAAGAAAAAAGAGAAAATGTTTTGAGTACTTCAAGAAATTTTTCATTTCACTTTTGCAATTCAAAAACTCGAGAAACAATTGATTTTTCCATATCATTAGAAAAACATTTTTGGTTTTAAGGATTTTATTCGCAGTTTAATTACTTGACAGTTTTTTTTTTTTCGGCTAGAAATTATAACGAAAACATAATAATATTGTGAAATTTAAAAAAATAAAATTAGGGGGTTGGCTAAACGACGAACTCCAAACAAAATAAACCAGGCGGGAGCAGACACGGCAAACCAAATACGTTTTAATAATTTCTTGTAGAAGACATATAGAGCAAGAATTTTGTATAAAATTGAAAAATCGCGAAACATTTACGGAGCCGCAGTTCATATGCCCTAACGTAGCGAGAAGAAATCTTGCGAAAAAGAAAACCCTTGGCTGTACTTCTTAGTGTACACATACATATAGAGAAAATATAAAAGCTAATACAAATACATACACATTATTTACGCCATGGAAAATCCACCGTTGTTTAATAGTGTTGAGGATGAATGCCGTTATTGGAAGGAAAGAGCCAAGCTTTTTCATAAAGAGTAAGTTGTTTATTTGAATGGAGTACTCATATGCAATCTTGAGATAAGGAAAATTGTTCTTACGCGTTGAACAGATGGACAGATGTTAAGCAAGAATTTGACGAGTTTGTCGAGCAGTCACGAGAAATGGAGGCCGAAATGGATGCTAGTTTAGAACAAAAGCTTGCTGTAATTAAAGATCTCAAGTTGAAAATTTCGTCATTGGAACAGGAAAACGAAACGCTTAAGGTATGTCATTCAAATACTAAAATGGTGTTTTTTTTGTCTTCGTTCTTGTTGTTTATTTTTTTTTTTTTCTAATCTTATTGTCTCTTCATTTCACTTAATGTTTAGGATAAACTTGATTCTCATAATGTAGAATATGCAAATGTGGAAAAGCAATTGGAGAATATGAAAAAGGAACGTGATTCAATGAAAGAGTACCTGCGCCAATTGGAACAGAAAAATGATGATTTGGAGCGGGCACATCGTATATTAAACGAAAGTATTGTCGATTTCGAGAGGATGCTTGACAAAGCATACGAAAAAAATGCTTTACTTGAAATGGAAGTGGATGAAAAGGAAATATTACAAGAAAAATTGCAAAGACTAATGGATGAGACAAGGGGTGCGTAGTTATACAATAATATTAAATGGGTTTTTAAATAATTCGGGAAAGCTTTCCTCATTTTCACTTTCGTTCATTTCATTAAACAGATCTTAAACAAGAACTGAATGTAAAAACACGTTATTCCACCAACATTTCTACCACCAGCTCAATTACGAAAAATGGTTTAACAGCGAGTACGACTGATTTGACTTGTACAGGCATAGTCAATGGAGAACTCTTAGGTGATAATACGCAACACATTACCAATTGTAATAATGCCGTTAATCACGTGACCAGCAACGGCACAACTATTATCGAATCAACCACAAATATTAATGAACATCAGCAGCTGCAACAGCAAAACCAACGCTCATTAAAAAGTAAGATATGTCATTCGTTAAAACAAACTAAACGTGCTTTTAAAACATACAAATCATGTCGTAATTAAATTTTAGTGTACTAACGTATTTATCAACGTGTAGTCAAAAAGGATTTTATATTAAAATCTTTGTTTCAAAAAGGGGCCTTATATAAAGCTATTGTTATATCAAATGTAATCAATGGCCATTTGAGCGTGAAACGAAACTTTTTCTAAACATGCTTTGTATTATATTTTTGTGTTTCACCATAATTATCACCATAATCATCATCAGCATCTCATTGCTATATATTCATTTATTTACTTATTTATTTTTGTAAATTAAAATTTGTAAAATTTATGAGAAACAAAAACATTTTAAGGCAAAAAAACAAATTAGAAACAATAAATCAATTTTGTTCAATTATAACAAATTCTTTTTCATCTGTTCAACGCAACTCATCTATTTTGTTTATTCATTCATTTGAAAATTATTCTTCGCCGCTTGGCAAGAGAGGATATATTGTACAATATTATTAAGTCTTCTTTTTTTTTGTTTTTGTAAATGTTTGCTGTTATCTTAACTATTATTTTTGTTATTTTTCTTTTCTTTTTTCGTCCGATTCATTTAGGAAAACCCTATAATGACCCGGCTAATATACTTAATGGTAATGCTATGTCAGCCAGTTCGCGTACAACAGCATTAAACATTGTTGCTGATATGCTCAGGAAACTCAATGTAAGTTTCTTCATTAGTTTATACATACATTGCTCTTCGGAAAGTGTTCGCTTTTCTCCTATTGACCGGATTTATTAAATCATTTGGTTTAACATGCTCTTTTAAGGAATGCAATTTCTTATATATATATATTTATATGTGCTAAATGACAATTTCATTTATTACAATAGGATCTTGTTACGTAGAAACACAGGGGAAAACTGAGTATAGTCTTGATATCAGTATAAACTATTGCTGCATTTTAGCTATGTTCATACAATGTGGAACTGTTCCTTTCTTGAAATTATAATTGCAAAGCTTGCTTGGAATATTACAAATTTCTTTCCATTTTCTATTCTCATCGGTTGAATCGTCAGGTCAACTTAATAAGCTAAAAAATTTTCACAAAATTAGAGAAAAAACTTTTTTCTTCTTGGTGTTGCTTGTGTTGTTTTGTGGGCAAATTCATTAGTCTTTCATTGTTTCATACAGGTGCATATATGTTAAGCTTTGAGGATCACGTTATTTAAAAGCGTTACTTACAAAAGCATTTTACATTTATATGACTGTCATATAATTCCAATGAAACTTGTGTTTTTGTATTTCAATTTGAGCGAAGCAATCAAATGCTGGTAATCATTAAATTATCTCTAAGCAAAATATAAGTCCTTTTTTGTTTTTTTTAAATTATTGACAAGTATAATTAAAAAAAAATACATTGGAAACCATTTGTCTGTTATTGCATACAAAACACAAAGATACGGGCTGATTTTACGTAATATTTTTTATATATTATAAAATTATCAGAGAGTTTAAGCAAAGTCTAAAATGATCGTCAGGCCATAAACCGGCTATTAGTACCTGTTCAGTGAGCACTCCAACGTATTTAATTTTCTTCGCATAGTTTTGAGGGAATCAGCTGAAAATATATCTCCACTTGTGCAACTCTTGCAAAGCTTCAACAAACACAATATGAGAAGAAAGGCGGACATAGTTAAATTCTAATTAAGTTAGAAACGAATTCTGAAATAATAAGCATGCTGCGTTTGTAGGGAAGAAGAGAATGTAGAAGTTCGTATGGGAAATTTCATAGGCAGAATATCCATAAACTTCTCGAATTACTTGACTTACTAATGTTGAGATTCCTCTGAATGGTTAAGAAGGCAGTTGAATAGAGAGCGGATCTGCATTTACACCGATAGTCAAGCCACATTAAAATCTCTAAAGGGGCGAGTGGTAACAATAGGCCTTGTAACATCTAGGCTTGTGTTGGAGTGCCTTCCAACACGGAATGAGCCGGACAGGCGCAATGATGTGCAACTAATACGGATGCCTGGCCATTCGGGTTTTGAGGGCTGTTGACTGTTTAAAGAACATGGAAGCCTGAGAGACCATCTTTGGTCCTGAAACTTTCTATGACTTTCCAAGAAGCCATATTAACAAGCTGGCATCGCAATGGGCATAGGAAAAATCGAATTGCGGCTGGAAGCAAGGTGCAGAACAACGGCCGATGAAAAAGATTCATAAAGTCCTCCAATATGGCACATAACTTACGTTTAGTCACGGATTTCTGCACGGTTAATAAATCCCCCAGTCACTATATGAAAAATATGGGAATGTCCGATGCCGATTCATGCAGATTCTGTCAAGGGACGACAAAAACCTTACATCATATTCTGCATGAATGTGAGGCCATTTGCAGAATCAGACTCCATGTGTTTGGCGGGGAATTTTCCAAGTCGAACACGATATGGTGTTCCGATCCAAGGAAGGTGACGGAATCTATAAAAATCCTAAAACCTGAGGGCTAGGGGCATGGGCCGAATAGGACAGATCTAGGTCGCGTTACGACTTGCCCAAGCAATTAATAATAATAATGTTGAGGTTGTGATTGAGTCAATTAAAATATCGATATGATCAACAACAGTAATTCGTGACTATAGCGACGAACATCTTAAAAATCATAAAATCTCCCATCTCCCCAAAATAATTTCGCAAACTCCGTACATGTCGCATATTCGTTTTAGAATGATGTGAAAGAAGCAGGAGTAATGGATAGAAAATTGCTTCTTCTGAGGCAAAAGAAACGACTTAGGCGAATCCTTGAAGCTTTTTATTATATAATAAGGTTAGCTTTGCAAAAAAATATTACCCACCCAATTTAAAATGAATTGAAAATACATTTTGGAAAAATTTTATAAAAAATCGTTCCTCTAGTAAGAGAATGAAAATAACGTAAAAAAAAGTAAATATACTTTAGTGAGATACGGTTTACCATTAAATTCTCTTTACCATCTTGTTTAATACAGACATTTATTTGATGACTTACCAAAAAAAAGCTTTCTGAGGGGAGCGGTCGAGGAGATGATCCGATCCGAATCATTATGAAGAGTGTTCGTCCTTTTGTCTTGAAAATTGTGACCCATAATCGAAAGTCAACAACTTTCGAAAATGCGGTACGATTTTTTTTTGTATTGCATCGAATCCTTCAAGCGACACGTTTAAGACCGACTTTTCCAATTTATACGAAAAGTCGCCTTTCAACGCAGTGCTGTAATCTTCATCGATTACTATGCATGCTATGGTCTGGCCAACATTTTCATCTGCAGACATCATATCACTTCCTATCGCATCTCTACTTTTCTAGTTTATGATTGCGTGGATTTTCCGGAAGGCATCAATCGCTTTGCATTTTTTGCCGATATATTCAATTATTCGCTTGTTGTTGAATTGTTCAATTGTGGCAGTATCAGCTTTCTAAGTAGAAAGAAACACTTTTCCACTGAGTTTTGTTTTTCGATTTTGATAAATATTCGTATCAGATTTTAGACCCATTAGAATAGATTAAATTTCCTTTGTTATATCCATCACTGAAGAATGAAGTTATAATCGTTTTATTTTTTTATAATATATGTAACAGACAAAAGGAAGCTTCTAAGATCCTCTAAAGATGAGCGTGAAATTTTGAATTGATTCAGCCCTGTCCGTCCGCCTGTGTGGTGTGATAAATAAGACAGAATGTTAAAAATTATTTTGCCGATTCCTTAAATGCAGATATATTTATTATCTGTTTAAAAATGTGTTAATTCTGAACAAAAAAGTATGTAGGATGTCTTGCCGTGGTGGATGCATTTTTTCCGAGCAATACCATCGATGTGGGTATCAAATAAAAGAACTTGAAGAGGACAATGCGAAAAACTGAATGTGACGTATTAGTTCCAAATTGAATATCTCGGACATCACAATGCAGTGAACAAATTCTTTCGTTACGATACCGTTGACATGAGTACACCATATAAAAGGATCTGGAGAATAATTCTAAATTAATTACGTTGGTTGTCACGATAAATGGATAAATGTTGATACAAGGTATCAAATGAAAGGAGTTGAAGAGTAGAACGCGGTGAAGTGTGTTAGTGATAATTTAATTAAATAAAGCCTTGGGACGTTTTGAAAAACACGTTTTCTCACATATTAAGGTCTTATGTGGCGGGTTGGCGAGATTCGGTCACCGTCGAGTATAACTTTCCTACTTGTTTTATCTAAGAATGGCCATGCCCACTTTCAAATCAATAGATCAATGGGTAGTTTAGCGTTTTACAAACAAAAGGACAAGTTTTGTGTGCCCCTCACCTTGGTGGTGGATATAGAAAATATTGTACAGATTCTTTGTAATAGTTATACAACAGCGATATAATTCCATGATCTTATTTCTAGAATGAACACTTAATTATGTGTTGTTTTAATATTCATATATAATTCTAACTGCATCGCCCTGTCTTCTAACTGTTTAGTTTGCTTCTATTAAATCTTATTATAACCTTCGCTATTCATTCATTCTCACACACATATGTATATGTATAGTAACTAATGGAAAGCAATAATATTTAATTAAAAAAAAAAAAAGAAAGAAGGAAATAAGTAATAATAATAATAATAATAATAATAATAATAATAATAATAATGAATAAATAAATCAATCAATCATTTATGCGCATTATTTCAATTTACATATCTTCCAGTTGGATAAAGCATTGTTATGTCCACAATGTCAAAGATTTCGTTGCATTTGTTTGCCCATCGACACGTCATCACCATCAAGCACTACTATCTCTAATAATTCCACAGTCATGAATGTACAAAATGTGAACGCAATATCCACAGATTATCCAGTCAGTCACACAAGTGTCGTTGGTAATGAGCTATCGCAACCAGCAAATGTCAACGATGATGATATTGTAGCTTTGCGAAAATGTCGTTCCTCTTTTACACAAAGTAGTACAAGTTTAAATTTTAGTACAAATATTTTTAAACGTTTCGCTGAACGTATCAGCGGTAACGGGACATTCCCCAATATCAGCCTAAGGACTTCTTTAGTTAACAGTAACGGTAGCGATGAATTGTAATAATTAAATATTTAATTAATATTTCAAAAATGGAAAAGGGTTTTTTTTACATCATTTTTTTTTTTTTTCTTTTTTTATAATTATTTTATATTTGAATAAAGGTTTTATATTGTTAAAAATATTCTTAAAAAAAAAGGGATTTTTAAACGTTCTGTTTATACCCATCACCGAGGGACGAGAGGTAAATTCATTTTTACTCAGCATCAGAGACCCCGCAGAGTGTATATATTCTTAATCAGCATCAAATTCTAAATCGATTTAAGCATGTCAGTCAGTCCGTCTGTGTTATGTCTGTTGTAAACGACAAGAATAATGGCCTTCAAATTTGGCGGAAACATTGGAAGCTCTCGTACGCAAGTCGACATTAAACATGGTCGAAATTGGTCGAAGGACACATACACCACAGCACCACGTAAACTGAGAACACCTCCGTTTTTCAAAGGGACAGATAAGTTGATTTTTTGCTCATTACTCATAATAAATATACAAAAATTCGAACGCATATTCTGTTGGCGATGCTGTAGCTTTTGCGCAGAAAAATGCAAAAAAGTGGACCACGCCTACCCAATATTATAGTGTATCAAATTTGAATTATTTTTCCTTTACGATACCTTTATAACGTGCAGAAGCAAGCTTCAAAAACCCCATAAAATGTACAAATTCTTGGCCAGCTACAACCCTTGAATGCACCTAATCACGTGCTGTCTGTTTGTCTGTCTATCTGGCTGCTTGCGTAACTTTGTAAAATTTGTGGTAAACATTCTCTCGTTAGCGAAAATGGCATATCGGCTAAAACTTTGCAGAACAGTTTGGAATTGATGTAAATTTTTCGAAGGACGCGCCTACAATGCCCACATGCCTCTACGACAAAGGCTTTTATTTTGAAAATAGAAGAAATCAAATTTTATTCTTTTAATTCTTTTGTCTTTTTTTTTGGGGGGGGGGTAAACGGTAATGGGTATAAAAGATTCGGTCCCGACCGAATTTAATTTGTTTACTTGTTTTTCTTTTCTTTCTTTCTTTTTTGTATTATTAACAATTAATTTCTAATATCAGTGATAAAGTCGCATTCTAGGTTTCGTATGTGGGAGCAATAAGACAAAGTGGTTTTTTCTGATAAAAAAATGGAAGAATAAAGTATATATTTTTTTTTGGCGATTTCCAATTTTTTCCTGTATGCGATTGGTTTGTCTTGAACAAAACATGAGGAGAACAAGGCTTTGACGAAAATGTTACTGTTTCTAACTTGTCCCGCTTAACTCAAGCTCGTCCCATTTTCGCAGTCATTTTCTGACTACTTTCTGCTACTCTTCAAGGATTCCGTTTTTACAATTTTGAGAAGATTAGCACCAGGCCAACGAGCATAGGTTAATTGCCTTACGATCTCGCATTGAGCGAAAATATTTGTAATCTAGTGAATCCTGAAGGTCATAAGCGAAATGAATGCATTGGCCTGCTAATATATTTCAATTGCTATTCTTCTTGTTATCTTTATTCCGATGTGAATATCCGGGGTGTTACGTCTATTAGTATTGGTCTAGATTGACGTGCTCAGTTTTATTATTTTAATTTATGGGCCATGGGTTTTTCTTTCGTTTTTGACAAATGAAACTTTCAAAGTTCCATATACTATACAAAAGGCATATAGACTGATATAGAATATCAGTGGACTTTTGACCAACGTTTGCAAAAGAGTAAAAAAACGGTAAGTGTACACATGCTAGCTACGATCAATTTAGGATCGTTGTAAGTGTACCAACTATTTGGGGAAATGAACCTTGAGGGCCAATAACATAATAACGGACAAGTATATTATGATTGTACGGAGAAGTGCTAATAATGATATCGATTGTGATCTCTAGCTAGTCTATAATTTGTTTCGGGCTAAGCAGGTATTCTGTGTTGCCTAAAGTAAACGCTGTAGCAGATATTCATTGGTAGTTTGACCTAAATATTCACCGAAACTAAATGGTAGTGATTAGTCAACGGACAATACTTTACATTAGGCGATGGCCGTTTAAAATTTATTTTAAGACAAATATTTCTTATATTGTCCTCTTTGTCTTAGTTTCGATTTTTTTTTTTTTTTTCTTATATATCTTTTTGTATGATAATCTTTTATTCGGTAGGCTATGGAAACGAAATTGAAGACCTACCGAGAGCAAGGATCAGGAATACAACCGCGTCAATGACAACCGCTATGTTGCAGTACCGCAACACAATATACTCTGACTGCAAGCACATTAGATGATGAAGAATTTAATGATGAATTAAAACAACAAGAACATCAAGAGACAACTACAAGATTTATGGCTACAGCAAAGGGCACACTAACACTAGCACCACCTTTATCTACACTCTAAATATGAGCAAATATTTCAAATGCATTAACAAAAAAATTTCAATTCCATGATGATGTCTAAACGAGCTTGAAAGTTCGTTAAACGCGCATCTTCAACGAACGAAAAAGAATGCAAACCATATTATATATGTGGTACGTTCACCAATGAAAAAAAAAAAAAAAAAAAAAAACGAAAACGAAAAATAAGAAAACTAAGAATATGATCAAAATTTTTTTACAAATTTTTTTTTTTTTTAATTTATTATTATTTTTTTTTTATCCCTTAAATTAAAATCGATTTCATCAAAGAGTAAATCAGAAAAGAACGTAGAAAAAAAAAAAAATAAAACATTTCAGAAAGCATAGAGTGCCTGCAATATCTTGTGTTTGTTTGTATCTGCATTTTTGTATAAGGACTCAAATAAAACACAATTAAAAAACACACGAGTAGTAGCGTAAGTGTAGACACTTGTTATCACTACAAAGAGAAAAAAAACAAAACAAAAGCAAAAGCAAAAAAAAAAAAAAAGATTCATAAAACAAAAGATAAAATAGCTAAAGCAGAAGAAGAAGAGACTTTAATTCATTAAGTAAAGCTATTTCGGTTTTCCACATTCGAATCGCCCGATTATAGGTTAAAAATTGATTGCTTTCTTTCTAATTTCGATTATTAAGGTAAATAATTTACGTCCTTTTTTAGTGTTTAAAAAAACGAAAAACGAAAAAGAGAAGAAATTTCATCTTTATTACACCCAACGTCACCCATAAAGAGGAATAATAAACGTAGCTTTCCATAGCTTTCTATTTATGAGACTGCGAAAATATGCGACGGACATCCCGGACACTTTCTGATTATCATCATTAGAGAGACTCTCAAAGCAGAAATATACTTTTAGTGTACAATTAATTAGCCTAAGATTCTGAATTGAATTTGTTCGTTTGTTCGTTTGTCCGTTTGGCACAGTCGTTCGAAATCGAAAACTCATCACCGAGTTTACACTGAAAGTTAATGCTCAGCTCATTCATTTTTAGTTTAATATCATTTTTTAAAAATCTTCAGACCTTTGAAAATGGGCGTGACTGGCCCCTAAACACTTAAAAAAAAAAAAAAAAGCTGAAAAAATCTCAAAAATACGAAATATATATAAAATGTTATTATTAGTTATTTTTGTTTTTAACTTATAACACTAGAGATGAAAAACTGCTAAAGCGAAAAAGCTAAAAAAAAGCGCCAAATGAAAAAGATCTAAAAGGATTTAGGGTGGTGGGCATCCACGATTCGCTTTAAAGCGAATATATAACATATATATATATATATATATTTTTTTTTTTTTTTTTAGCTAATCTAAGGTATAAATAAAACAAGAGTTGACAAGTACTTGTGATTTGATATTTATTATGTTTTACTATATTTATATAAGTGCCCCTCCCCCTTTCCAAAAAATAATGCATATGCTGAAGAGCTTTTTTTTCTACAAGAAGTAAAGATGTTTAGTTATTAATTTATATGAACATACACAACTATACACACACACATACACATGCATACATACACACAAACTTGGAAATCTATTTTTTTTTTTTTTTTTCAAACATTAATGAAATGTTTTTTTGAGATGCTTTTTTCCAAATGAATTAAAAGAAAACCATCATAAAAATTAAATGTTTTTGAAATAAAATTAAAGTGAAGAAAATGTAGAATATAAAAAAAAAAAAAAAAAAAAAAAAAATGAAAAATTTTTTTGCAGTAAGTGTAATAACATTAAAATGTAACCTATGTAGACTCTCTCGTTCTCTTTCCCATACTGTCTCGGTCTCCTACACGTTAATACTGTTGATTTTACAAAAGTAAATAAACAAAACCAACAATTGTGTCAACATTTGAACTGAGATGATTTAAATAAAAAAGAAGAGAAAAAATATCCTAGAGGCAAACTGAAACTGGTTTTTTATTTATATAATTAACGTGGACTCAATCGAAAGATAGGAAGATTTGAAGTCGATAGCTTTCTTTTTCACGACCTGGAAAATGTTTAAAACAGACATTACGCAGATGGACAGGCGGACGGCGGACCTGCTTAAATCGATTCAAGCATATTCGTCTGTCGGTCTGTTCACCTCCGTCTATAAAAAGTTGGGATATTAATCAATTTCTTACTGTTAACACATGGTGACAGATCACAAGAGGGGGGGATCCGTCACAGCCCTGGTATATATGAGAAACTGTTGAAATTGGGGAGAGGACTATGTAATCCTTTTGGATCGCCTTTTCGTGGTGTTGCTTTTGTGACTCTCACTACCGAGAGTTGCATAGTTTACGGTAAAGAGTTTAAGAGTTTAAGGATTGCTATCTATAACCTGGCGACAGGTTTTTCTCTTGGAAACCTAAGCGGTGTATCGGAAGAGGGCTCTCTTTTCTTCCCCTTCTCGTTCTCTTTTATGGAAATCATCGAACACAGGATAGTCAGCGATATTTAAGAGGAACGGGGCACAGTTGGGTGTGTACTGAGTGATGACAATCTTGAAAGCATTATTTCCTTGAGAGAGGGCAGTTATTGGACGGCGTTTCGGGACGTGTGGCGTGGTCTAAACGCAAGAGTGGCTCTGGCTGCGTGCAGTAATAGATCACCCAAAGCTATATAGCATTGTGTAAATTGTGTAATAGAACGATAAGCCATGAAGTAAATGTGTGTCCACGAAGGTCAGGTTGCCCAAAAACCCCTGCACTACCCGTCTGCCTATCGGGATGAATGCCTTCTTATCTGATTGCTGGATACGGCCCTTCGCAGAGTATCATGGTGGTTGCGCTTACCCCGAAGTTTCGTGGCGAACTATTCAAAATGTGTTTCGATAGGCCTCGATGCATACCAATAAGCGGGAAAATGGCTCACACCTATTCATTATTTCGGTGCCTCACGAGTAGTAGGGCCCCCTTCAATGCGGATTGCCCTAGTCTTGGAGGGTCGTCAATTATCGCTTGTCAAGATAACTCGTGTGCCATCGTGCGCCATGAGATTAGGTCGTCAGCACGATATAAAGAATTTGTACTGGAGTAGAGTAAATCTCATATCTCTTAATCCAAGTAAGTGTAAGAAATTGTCTTTTTATGTAAAGGTTCGCCATTTAGGACCACATAGAGAAGAGATGGACAGATTATAGAGCATGTGCCATAGATTAGTTATAGATTTGGTTATGGTTTTCGATCCAAAAATGCCCTTTAATCTGCGTACATACATTACATTGTAAATTAAGCTAGATTTGGAATATTTCGCTGATCAAGAATACTTGTATGTATGTGTATGTTTTACAAATAAATCTGGTATACTCACATCCTTTGTCGGCGATAAATTCCTTCATCATTTAAATGAAATGAAAACAATTCGATAATAAATGCTATATGAGTATGAATGAATGTGGATAGACGTTTTAGTCAAGTAGAATGACTGACGAGGAGATTAAATAATTTGGATTTCTAATCTCATTACGAAATAAAACATTTTCGACGTTTGTACCTACGTTACGGAAGCTGAATGAAAATGCATAAGTTATTCTTTATTAGTATTAACAATTAATTTTCCTCTTTATATTACATAATAATAATGATAATTTATTAGTTAAGAAAATGATGATAACTTTTTTTATTTTATATAAATTTAGATTAAAATGAATCCTGAAGCCATAGATGCAAACGATAAATTAATAGCTTGTTTGATTATAATATTATTGAATGAAAGATAATGCATGATTATAAATGTCTCCTTCAAGTTCTCTTTCGTTAGTTATCCGCTAAAGTCTTGCGAGTTATTTTCAATCGCTATGCTATTCATAAAATTGGGCAAGGATTTGTTGGCGCTTTTCGCGCAACCGCTATGCGTGCGCTCATTATCTTTGGTTGACTACAAAAAATATCATATAGATAGATAAAGATCCATATAAAACTACATACAAACAATAAATACATAAGTGCGTGTATATATGTGTGATTTGTTTGTTAAAAATGTAAATTTATGTATGTAAACGATTAAGTAAAGAAAATTGTGTACATAACAAAAGACAAGAAAATTTAAATCAAGACAATCAACTTACAATTAACGAATGAAAAAATAATAATAAGAAAAAGAAAAGAAATTAAGAATAGATTGAATGATGAGAAGTGGATGAGGAGAAAAAAAAAAACCCGTCATTAGGTTTAAAAACTTGAGTAAAAATTATAAAATCCGATTTTAGTTTATTTGTTCTCATTGAAGTAAATTCTCCCTCGTATTTTTACATGTTTTATTGGCTTTTCTCTGATATATGTTAAAAAGAAAAAAAAAAAAGAAGAAAAATTCTATTGCTTAGAAAAAAAATTATAAATAAATATTAACAAATTTGTAGTTTTTCTGGTGTTGAGTTTTAAAACTTTTTTTTTTTTTTTTTTTTTTTTTTTTTTTTTTGCTTAAATTTAAAAATATTTATTTGTTGTTCATTTCTTTAGAATAAAATTTGAGAATTTTATAAAATTAAAATACACATTTAAAATTAGAAAAACTTGAAAACAATGTTTTCATAGATGTTGGAATTCTTTCCAACAGAGCTGAGTAGATCAGGGCGGGTATGGGAAATGCGGTAGTGGAGGTGTTTACGCAATTGACGTGACGGTTGTTAGGCTGTGTGGTTAGTTATAATCAAAAAGAAAACAAACATTGTTTTTGTTGATGTTGTTGAATAACAAAAAAAAAAAAAAAAGAGAAAAAAGAACTAAAATAAAATTATAAATCAATTTATTCGGTGATCGTTCTTGTGGTCTCTTGGATGAAGACTTGGGAACCGGGCACAGTTGAGGTGGTAACAAAGGTGCGATGCTTGGCGCGAACCATATTCAAATTGGTCTCTGCGACTTCAGCGCGTTCTTCAGCTGCCTCCAATTCACGTTGGAAACGGCGCACGCGGGTAACAGATTGTTGAGACATGCCCTCCTGCAGAAAAATGCAAGACAACAACAAAAAAAAAAAAAAAGAGAAAAAATCCAATCAAATGTTTATCACAATTTTTCAAATGATTGATTGATTCTTGCCTGTTCACTTAATTGGCGTTTAAATAGATTGACCTTGGCGACGGATTTATCCAAAGCCTCTTGCAACAAGGCAATATTTCGTTGATCCTCTTCGCATTGCACCATCACTTCTTTGACAGTGCGTTCCTTTTTCCTCAAAATCTTAATAGTTTCGGCGTGTCTTCGCTTCTCCTCCTCCAATTCAAGTTCTAAATCACGTACGCGCGCCTCCAATTTGCTAATGATACGTTTGCTACCAGCCACAGCATTCAACTCGACCTCTTCCAAACGTACAGACAAGTTCTAGCAAAACCCAGTTATAATGTATGAAAAATTTTTTTTTTTTTTTTTTTTGTTAATTAAGAAAATTTCGAAAAATGTTATACTTTACCTTAACTTCGACTTCCAAAGATTTCTTAATAGTTTCCAATTTCACAATACGTTCTTGTTCTTCGTGGATCTGTTCAATGGTATGCTTGAGTTCAACCTAAACAATAAAACCAATGGCTTCTTCAGATTCTTTTACGCTCATTTAAGTTTTAAGGTGCCATACTTACCGAGACCTTCTGGTAGCGTTCATCACTGATACGCAATTCTTTAGTGACTTCTTCATAATCGGTAGCCACCACAGACAATTCCTGTTCCAATTTCGATTTCATCGATACCAAGTTTACATTGGTTACGTGTAGTTCATTAATGCGAGTTTGGGCCTCCTCGAATTGTAATTCAACGGTACGCTTAGCGCGACTAGCACTATCCAGTTGGGAGCGAACCTCTTCCAATTCGCCGTTCATGGAGGCCAAGCGACGTTGGGCGACACCATACTGATCCAAAGTGGTCTGCAACTGACGTTGAACATCTTCGTAGTGGGCTTGCAATTCGGTCAATTGCAACGATTGCTTCTTAATAACCTTCTGTAAGTCAATATTGGTTTTGTTGGCGACATCCAAGCTCATTTCCAATTCGGTGATCTGGATTTGCAACTTCTTCTTGATGCGTTGCACTTCGGTCTTTAAACGGGTTTCGGCTTCAATGACGCGAGCATTCAATTGTTCGATTTCTAAAGCAGTCTGCTTGCTATTTTCATTATTTTTAATGAAATTAAAATATTATTATATAATAAAATTAATTTATTTATATATTTTATAGAATTTGGAAATTTATTAACATTTATCCATAAACACTTACTTTGAGGACTAAAACTAGACTAAAACTTTCATTGGCATTCAACTACACTACAAAATTTTCGACTTGGAGTTTTTCTAATACTCCCTCCTATTATTACACTCTACACCACTTATATATATAAAGGTACAATATTACGTTTGTGCGAATGTGTGCAATACATAGATCCAACCTTTATTATCACTTTCTGAATCAATTTAAATTTGCCTGTCCTTCCATCCAGGTGTCCATCTGTCCGCTTTGTTCTTTCGTGTTCAACTAAAAGATATTTCGATGCATTTAACATACTGGCTTGTTTTGCCCTAAGGACCAAGGACCCATTTCCCACGTAACTCCTTATTTTGAAAAGTCGTTACATGAATAACTGTATTAAGCGAACGGGCATAGAATATTTAGTAGTGGACTGTGGTGGGGTTTTTAAAATATTGAAAAAAAAACTACAGATTATAATGTTGGGCAAGCATGGTCCACTTTTTCCATCTTTGTACTTTACTAAGTACCACAGCATAGCCCATAGAATATGTGGTGACATTTTTGTACATTTATCTGCTGTAGTTTATGAGTGAAGAGCAAAAGAACAATTGTTTATTATATTTATTTTTGGAAAATAGGGGTGTTTTGGACTTATATGGTATTATAGGCGTGCCTTTCGAGCGATTTGGGCCAATTTCAATAACAACCTGCATATAAGGTATTCCAATGTTTCTGCCAAGTTTGAAGTCGACAGCTTCACTTGTTTAGGACACACATTACACAGACCGAGAGGCAGAAATGCTTGATTCAATTCAAAATTTAATGCCGATCATTGTGGGGTCTCTGCAGCATCCTTGCAGACGCTGCAAATGAATTGAAAAATCGCAATTTCCGTCAGAGCTCTTCTTTTATAAAATATATATGAAAAGATGGAGGAAAGATATATTTACCTTCCACATAGCCTTCATAATCATTATCTTAAATCAATGAATTATCATTGAAAAGTATTTTGTTAAATGCATTCATGTCATTCAATTAATCGAAATGATTTTTGCATCGGCCTTACTTAAACAGTGCCTCGATCAAATTTAAAATTTTTTTATTTAAGTAGAACGATTAAGAGCAGCAATATATTCTTAATTAAGAAAAAAAATTAATTTTTTCTTTCATAAGAGCAATTTGTAATCGGTTTCTCATAACACGCTCGTCTGATCATTAATAAGTTGGGTTAATTGTGTTTGCTCGACTTGGTAACGTAAGCACTTTTGATTTATCCATTTAAGCCATTAATAAGAAGGCACGCATTAATATTAATATCCCTAATGTACGTAGAGTTCAATACTTTTTCCTTGGCCCTCAGCACTAATTTAGTTAAGAAACATTCTTGTGTGTTGTACAGGCGTGAAAACATTATTTGTCTTTAGCTTAAATGTGATTGATTTTTACTTTATTAGTATGATTTTTCTGGGGCTACATTGTCGTCATTATTTCGTTACTTATCTTATATTTCAGATACGGAAATAGCGAGCAATCACAAGTCACAACGCAGTCACAATTATTTTTTTGCGGTTTTCGTGACACGTTAGCACACTGGTGTTTTTTTTTTTTTTTTTTTGTGATATCGATATTGAAAAGGTTTACTGTGATTAGACAGACAAGAAAATACAATTTTTCGCTTTATGAGTAACGATTGGTCACATACCGGAATACGGCTGCTCCAGTAAATATTAAGAATTTTATCTTTTGGACATGCTATGTTACTAAATAATATCTAATTGCGCTTGTGCCTAGTATCTGATCAATTGATATTCGAAGATGGTCTTCTCTTTATTTTTATAAAGGGAATGAAAACGTACCCGTCGCCTAATACTGTTAATACTTTAAAGCTTTAATTTTTTTTTTTTTTTATACCCATCATCGGTGTATAGGAGTGCATGCGATTTCTCTTTGCATTTGTCTTATATCCTTATATGTGTTCAAGTGAATGTGCATATAAAGATAAAAGTCGAAATTTCTTATTTAGCATGAGATTCGAAACGTAGCCTAGATTAATCTAAATGTACCTCACCGCAGATTCTTCCACCTGCTGTGTGTCTTTGCTAAACTCATAAAATAGAGACCTAGTATATATTATTCTCAGTTGAAAGCGGCAAATAGACGTTAACAATGGATCTGACCTGACCGTGCTCGGCAAAAATCTAACTTTGCAAGCTTTAACTGAATATTTCAAAATAATATATTATTACATTAGTCTCACATAAAAGCTTACTATGTGCATAATTAATGAAATAATCTCTGTCTTAAGGTCAACAAAATTAATTTTGTTATTATTTGGCAAAAATTGATGTGGTTTGTAGCGATTCTAGATCGATTCAATTCCGTGAAGTAAACGAATTCGTACTTTTCTGTTAATTAATTTTGTAATTAATTAAGATTTTGTACGCAGACGTGCTCCGCTTAATTAATTCGTTTAGTTCGTAACATGTTATGTCGGAACCATGCTTTACATGTATCACATTAAGCCAATCTAGTGATTAGACTTATCTATGGAATATTTTTATGATATCTATCTGTGCCTAATCTAAAATGACTAATTGTTTTGTTTGTGTTTGTTGGCGTTGTAATTATTTTTATTGTTGTTTTATTTATTTATTTTTTAAGGCAAATTTTTATTGAGGGTATTCTATAAATAAACATATGCATAATGCTAAAAAACCTCAGACATCGAAATCAGTAACCAATAAAAATGCTATCAAGAATTTATATACAACTAATACAACAACAATGCCTGATGCTTGCTTGCTTGCTTTGCTTATATAGATGTATGTATGCATAGGTGATAGGT